AGTCTGGCCAAAACTTAGAGTGTTCTAGTTTCACCATAAATTCAACAGTATAGGGCATTAGCACATTATTAATATTTTCTATTAAAAGGAGTAAAAAGGTAATTTAAAGAAATTTACCTGCATCTAATTACTATTCAGTTTGAACTTTTTTTTCAGTTTCTTCAAGTTTCATTGGCTGTGAATTAATTGCTTGGGTCCTTTACCCTTTTATTTACTAAAATCCTAATGTCTTCCTTACCAGTTTGTTGTGGATCTTTTCCTGAAATGGAGATAAGGATGAACCCAATCAAACTTTAAAGAAAATAAGATTTTAAATAAAAATCACTGTTGAATTTGTGTTCCTTTTGTTTAAGGAAAGCATTTGGTATGTAAATAATTATATTCTATTTTGCTTATTTATTCATTTAAAAATTGCTAACTTTGGCTGGACATGGTGGCTCTTACCTGTAATCCCAACACTTTGAGGCCAAAAAGTTGAGACTAGTTTGGGCAACATACCAAGATCCCTGTCTCTACCCCCCAAAATTAACTGGATATGGTGGCACTCATTGGAATTCTCACTACTCCGGAAGTTGAGGCAAGAGGATTGTTTGAGTGCAGGAGTTTGAGGCTATAGTGAGCTATGATTGTGCTACTGTATTCTATTCTGGGCAACAGAGTAAGACTCTGTCTTTATTTATTTATTTTTTTGATGGAGAACCTCACTCTATTGCTCTGGGTAGAGTGTCCCGGCATCATGATAGCTCACAACACCCTCAAATTCTTGGGCTCAAGCAATCCTCTTCCCTCAGCTTCCTGAGTAGCAGGAACTACAGGCACCTGCCACAATGCCCAGCTAATTTTCCTATTTTTAGTAGAGATGGGATCTCACTTTAGCTCAGGCTGGTCTTGAACTGGTGAGCTCAAGCAATCCACCTGCCATGGCCTTCCAGAGTGCTAGGATTACAGGCATGAGCCACCGTACCTGGCCATGGATCTCATTCATTTCTTTCTTCTCACAGTGCACTTGACAGAGACTTAATTTGGCAAGACTTTGTAGAATTTGGTTCCATGAACAAACACAAAAGGATTCATCTATATATGTTTTCCTTGTGAATTTTTTTTTTTTTTTGAGACAGGGTTTCTCTGTGGTCTGGGCTAGAGTGCAATGGCATCATCAAAGCTCACTGCAGCCTCAAACTCTTGGGCTCAAGTGATACTCCAGACTTAGCCTCCTAAGTTGAGACTACAGGGGCCTGCCACAAAGCCTGGCTAATTTATGTGTGTGTGTATATATATATTTTGAGACAGAGTCTCACATTGTCACCCTTGGTAGAGTGCTTCTGTGGTGTCATAGCTCACAGCAACCTCAAACTCTTGGGTTCACTGTGACCTATAATTAAAAAAAAATTATTTTTTAATAGAAGTATAGTCTCCTGTGTTCCCCAAGCTTTCTCAAACTCTTGGCCTCAAATGATCTTCTGGCCTCTGCCTCCCAAGTCCCGGGATGAGCCACTGTGCCTGGCTCTGGCATTTAAAAATAAGAGCTAAAAAAGTAAATTTTTTTTTTCAATTTGAAAGCAGTCACCGTTTATTAACTGACCAGATTACAAAAACAATCAGGGCAGACACCTTAGCTCATTCTTCTAACAAGCCTATTGATTTGGTCTTCCCTGTTACCAGCATCTCCACCTTCTACAAAGTGGGTTGTCTTTTTCTTCATTCCCCCCCTGTGGAGATGATAACTCGAAGGGCCACAAGAAGTTATTTGCTTCTTTGAAGCATTTTCCAACAGTATAGATCTCATGAATCAGATCCTCCATGCAGATGATGCCATATTTACCAAGAGATCGTGCAATCAAACTGTTATCAGTCAATGCAATTCATTTCTTATTGATTTTGCCATAACCACGCTTGTAGATTAGCTCATTTATTGACTTCAGATTTGGGTACCCCCATGCAATATATGGTCCTACAATCCTCAGCATGTTAACTGAAGCCCTGTTGAGCGTAACAAAAGTTCCATTGAAGATCTGGCGAAGGCGAAGAAGCTGCAACACCTTTTGGACCTTTGGACTCACACCATTGACACCTCTGATCCTGATGACAAAGGCCATCTGGGTTCTGCAGGTCCATAGAAGTTGCCAGCTTTTCCTGCCATCCCAGCCATCCGAATCTCAGTTCTGTACATCTGCCTGTATTCTTTATGATAATGCTTAGCTTTTTCACAGATAAGCTTCCTCCTTGCCTTTTGAAGCATCTTTTGGGCACACTTCTTTCTCAGATGCTTGATCTTCAGCTCTGCGAAATTGTTTCGCTTTTTCTTAAGGGTTTCTGGCACAGCAGGAACCTTCTTTTTCTTCTCTTTGACACCCTCCATGGTTCCAGCCAGAAAAAGAGGGAAAAAAAAGTAAATTTTAATATACTATGAATCACAGTGGTGGTGACATCCACAAATGCAGATGAATGTAAGTGTATTGCATAAGCCCTCATACCATGAATTCTCAGTTGCCAGCAGGGATCTGGGTTAATTTCTTCTTTGTCAGTCACAAGTCATGTTGCCATCATGGATATAATGTTCCAAAATGGTGGTCAACCCTTGAGCTCAGGTTGGTTTTAAACTCCTAGCCTCAAGGGATCCTCCTGTGTTGGCCTCCCAAAGTGTTAGGTAGGATTACAGGTGTGAGCCAGCCCAACTTGTGATTTACGGATTAGACTCCTACACATGTTGATTTCAACACAACCTGCCTCAATGGTCAAAGTGATGGATTTGAGGCAGTTCTTCAGTCTTCCAGCAGATGTCATTTATAATAAATTCCCTTTCTTCCTTGGTAATCCTAGTTACCACAGTAATGAGCTTTCTGTGTGGTAAGCAACTGGATTCAGTCAGAATGTTCTTGTGGGTTTGGTAACAGCTGTGCCTCAGTTTCTTTATAGGAGCATTATGAGGATTAAATGGACATTGGACAGTCAATGTTTATTTTATAATCACTGAGCAGCAAGTATTCTTAGTATTCAAGGATTCTCTGTTCCAGAAATAAAGACATAAGAGATCATCTCTGGGCTTGAGGACTATTTTCTCAGTGGCACACAGCAGGGGGGAATATGAAAAGATTCCCAAAATAGGTGGGAGCCAAGTGCTACGGGACTCTGAGTAGGGAGAGAGGACACATGGATGGGCCTTTGGGGCTTCCTTAGAGAATCAATATCTAACCCGAGTCTTGACAATTGGCTGGAAATACAACCAATAGAAATGAGGCAAAAGGGCATTCGGGCTGAGGGAATGGCATGAGCATAGCTGCAGAGGGGTATAATATGGGAAGCATTTTGGTCCTGGCCAGCAGCCCTAGTTGGCTGCAGCTACAGGCCTTTGGGGCTGGAGGGAGTGGTGGGAAATAAAACCGAAAAAAGACAGGAGCATGACAGAGCAATGCAAGAGAGAGCCAGGGAAAGCTCTGGTCAGAGCTGTGGCTGAAGGGAAGGGAGGACTATAGGAATGAGGGGGTAGGCTTGCGGGTGAGGAGGCTGTTGCAAGAGTCTGGGCATGAGATGGTCAGGCCTGAATGAGGACAGAGGTGACAGTGGGGATGGAAGCACTGTGGAAGAGCACTTTAGGATGACATTGCCAGGGCCTGATAAGGGGAAAAGTTGCAAGAGGAAGAGGTTGATGGAAGCACCCCTTGCTGACAACCCAACAGGCTTGGTGCACTTTATTTTATTTCATGAAAGCCCTTGGCATCACTTCTCCACTGCACTTAGCTCAGAAGTGGGCAGCTCCTCTCTGGATAGAGCCCTTTCCAGGGTGGGGTTGGGGACTCCTGATCCAAATCAAGCAACCTCCTATGGCACCTAGCTAAGGGTCTAACATCAGTAAGAGCTCAGGACAGTTTGTGATTGATAGGGAGAGGATGAGGGGAAGGTGAGTATGGTTGTTATTACCTCAGAAAAGCCTTCCATGGTCTCCAGATTGATTTTGAATCAGGTTACCTGATTTTGCCTTGCCAAAGCTCTTTGCTCTTCTTGCCTCTTGACAGTTTTAATGACATATTGGTATTATACTGGATTGATGCCTGTCTTTTCCTACTGCACCATAAGCCCCAGCACTTAGAACAGTGCCTGGTATATAGCTGGCACTCACATATGTATTTGTAGAGCTACAAAAATCAATAGTTGCCTGGGACTGAGGATAGGAGCAGGATTGAAAACGGGCACAGAGAATATTTTTGTGAACATTTCCTATGTTCAAAAACTGGATTGTGGGTCAGGCACGGTGGCTCACATCTGTAATCCTAGCACTCTGAGGGGACAAGGCAGGAGGATCCCTTGAGGTCAGGAGTTGGAGACCATCCTGAACAAGAGTAACACCTCATTGCCACTAAAAATAGAAAAACTAGCCCAGTGTGGTAGCAGGTGCCTGTAGTTCCAGCTACTCGGGAGGCTGAGGCAGGAGGCTCCCCTGTGCCCAAGAGTTGAAGGTTGCTGTGGAGCTAGGCTGTTGCCACTGCACTGTAGCCTGGGTGACAGAGTGAGATTGTCTCAAAAAAAGAAACAAACAAATCTGGATTGTGTTAATGGCTGTGTACTGTTTACATTTACTGAAAGTTATCTAACTGTGTACTTACAGTGAGTGAATTTTATGCTATACATCAATAAAGGTGTTATAAAATAAAAATTGGATTCAGTAAGGCCAGATCAAAAAATTTTTAAATCAATATTTGTGGAATGAGAAAATCGTCTTTCTCCACGCAGTACTGTAAGCTGAGTGAGAAGCGCTATATCCTCAAATTTAGAAAATTAATTGTCACTTCGTAGGCGCAGAGCAAGTCTTATCTAAACAGAGAATGAATGAACGGAGGAGCGGAAGTAAGTTTCCCGGAGCCCGTACCAGGCTGCTTCCGGGTTGCAGCCGGTAGCCCAGCTCTGTGGGGTCCGGAGAGGCGAGCCCCGCGATTGGCTAGCAGCGTTGGCGAGCTGGTAGGGGCGGGGCTCTCGGGAGGCGTGACCAGGCGAGGGCGGGCTCCGGGTGGCGCCTGCGTAGACTGCCATAGCTGTCGCCGCGGTGAGAGGTGGGGACGCGATGGCCGGGCCCGCGTGGATCTCCAAGGTGAGCGCTGGCAGGCCGGTGTGTGGCGGGCGGCTCTGGCGGATGAGCGGGCAGTGTGCTGGACAGGGGAGGGCGCGCGGGCCCGGTGGGTAGGCGGCGGCGTGCAGCCCGCGGGGACAGTTTGGGAGCCTGTCCTGAGCTCCCATGCGCCGCACTCCGTGGCTCGCACGGAGCTCTGTCCCGGGACAGCAGCTTCTGAGACGGGGACGGAGTCAAGGTCAAGACGAGGGGCGCCGGCCCTGTTCCTAGTGAGACCCGAGCCACCACCTACATTCGCCTGGGCCAAAGGCCGGGCCTCGTGCGGAGCCGGGAACGGGCCCGGGAGCCTCGGCCCGTCTCCGCCACCAGGGCCGATCCGGAGCCTGCGGCCCTGCCGCCGAGCTGGTAGCGCGCAGACCCCAGTGCCACTCGGGCCTCCCCTTCGGCGTCTGCCAAGCCCCTGACCCGGCAGCCGCGGGTACGGGCGTTGGGCTTGGGAGGATTTCCCGGCTGTGGGAGTCTCTAGGCCTCTCTTCCTGCAGGACTTTTTTTCCCTTGGAAATCTTCCCAGTGTGACCTCTGGTACTCTTGTAGCTATTTCCTCTTCGAAGGACATAGGGCATCTTACATCTTGGAATTAACCATCTGAACCCTCGGAGAGGGAGACCAGCAGCGCCTGCCTTTTTCCTTGCACTGAGGGGAATCTTGCCCTCTGGAGAGCTTTGGCTCCTCTCGACAGCTCAAATAACTGGAGCTGGAAAGGGTTTCATATCATCTGTGCAGTATCTTGGTTTCTCAGAGGAGTTAACCTGTGGTTGTAGACCACCTTGTTCAAGGTCACACAAGAGGTCAGTGTCAGAGCTGGGAGAGGAACCTACATGTCTTGGTTCTCAGCTCTTTATTTCATTCTGCATGCCAAGGTCACATAGCAAATTATGGGTACAGGGGAAAATAGGCCTCAGGTCTCCCGTTGCTGTAATCTACCATAAGCAATTTAATTTGTTTTCTATAAAGTTTGATACTCCTTTTCTCCATTTCAATTTAAAGAAAGGTCCAGAGATGTAGTGTTACTTAGTGAAAAGATCTCTATACTGAATTTTAGGAGTCTCAAGTTCAAATCCTGGCAACACCACTGATGAGTTGTTTGACCCTGGGCAAATTACTTAACATCTCTAATACTCAATATTGCTCATCTGTGAAATCTGTATACTTGTGTCACAGAGTTATTTGTGTATTAAATAAAATTTGTGTATGTGGGCTGGGGGCAGTAGCTCGTGCTTGTAATCTTAGCACTTTGGGAGGCCAAAGCAAGAGGATTGCTTGAGTCCAGGACTTTGAGACCAACCAGGGCAACATAGTGAGAACCCATCTCTAAGAAAAATAAGCTGGCATGAGGGTGTGCACCTGTAATCCCAGGGCTTGGAAAAGCTGAACCAGGAGAATCATTTGAATCCAGGTTGCAGCAAGTTATGATCTCACCCTTGCACTTTAGTTTGGGCAACTTAGTGAGACCCTGTCACATACATACAAAAAACAATGTGTGCAGAAGGAACACAAAAATCTGAAGTTTTTGTAGTCATTAAGCAGGCAGTGATTCTTTTTTTTTTTTTCCTTTTTTTTTTTTTTTATTGAATGGTAACTATGTACATTAATGCACTTCTGGGGTACAGTGTGGGGTTTTCACATGCAATCTGAAATACTTCCATCAAACTGGTCAACACAGCCTTCATGTCATTTTCTTAGTTATTGCTTTAACAGGCAGTGATTCTTGAGCATCAATAACTGGATATTTTGCCAGGTTACTAGATTCTACTTTGTCAGTTTCTTTGTCCAGATTTGCTTATATAGTAACTATGTCACATTAGCTCCTAAAAGTAAAGCAACTTCTGTGTCACTGAAAACGTAAGTCAATCCTTTAATCACTGAGCTTACACTTAACGCCTCATTCTTAGTAGGTACATTAACCTTTCAGAATGAGGGACTTAAGCAACATTGTTAATGAATGTGCTGGTAAATCTGTTTTGCAGTCGGTATGTTCTACAATACCACCTCATAGTAGGAGTTCAGAAAGGGTTGGATTCTGGAGTCAGAAGATGAGTTCTCTTCTGACATGGACTCCTCGTGTGACCTTTGGCAGAATCATTTGATTTCTGGGATTTTTTTTCACTTTAGAGCAGGGGTGTACAACCTGTGGGCCCACAAGCCACATGTTCATTTGTGTGGACTTTTTTTGCTTATCTGTGGTGTCAGATACTACATATCATGAAAAGTATACAGGGACTTTGTTTTGCTAATCAGCTTCTTAGTGTTTGTTTATTTACTGTGTGCCCCAAGACAATTCTTACTCTTGCAATGTGTGGCAGAAAAAAAAAAAAAAGATCGGACAGGTCGGGTGTGGTGGCTCATGCTTGTAATCCTAGCAGTCTGGGAGGCTGAAGTGAGAGGATCACTTTAGGTCAGGAGTTCAAGGTAAGCCTGAGTAAGAGCAAGATCCTGTCTTGTGGCAGGCACCTGTAGTCCCAGGTAATGGTGAGGCTGAGCAGAGAGGATCAGTTGAATCCAGGAGTTCGAAGTGAGCTATGCTGACACCATGGCTCTCTAGCCTGGGCAACAGAGTGAGACTTTGTCAAAAAAAAAAAGAAAAAGAAAAGTTGGATACCCCTGCTGTAGAGGTTGGAGTGGAAGATGCCTGGGAAGCTAAGTCCAGGATATTGGGAGTGTTGAGCCGATGTCAGTTTTAGTCAGAGCAGTTTTTCTCTTGGGGTTCCATTTAAGGTTGTATTTGGGGAGTGGGGAAGGATCTGCAGCTTTAAAAAGGTTTTCATATAGAGAAAATAGTGAGTTTCTAAAGACTTTCAGCTCTAAAAAACCATAATTATAATGAGCCCATTTTCCATCTGCAAGCATGTACTGAGTCCTTCCATACATCCAACACTGTATTTATATGTTTTTAAGTTGGAGTCTGAAGGCAAAAAGGGAAATGAACTATTGATAAAGATGGCCCAAGACCTGAAGTCAAGTTCAGGGCTTTGGGCCAGACTCTGTGAGCTTGACTTCAGTTTCCTCATACAAAAAAGGCCACTAATACCTCTCTCTCCAGGTTTTATAGAAATAAAATGATATGACATATGCATAAGTATATTATAAAGTAGAAGACAGTCTGTGCATTAACAAATTTTACTTAAAATTCTGGGTCATTCTAATGACTTAGATGTAATTCTACTTTATTCTAAGGTCATGGAGGAGAGATGACAAATATGGAAAAATTTGGCTGTTAAAGAAAATCATTGCTGGTATTAAGGCTGTTTGCTGGAGTGGGAACTCTTCAGGTAGAGATATGATTGAGGCTGGACTCAGTTTTTTCAAAAAATGTTGAGTGTCTGCTGTGAGGCTAGGCGCTGTGGGTAGGCACTGGAGACGCAGCAGTGAACAGAACTCCTGAGCTTGCATCTTAAATCATGTGTTTTGGTCGGGTCTGCAGTCACAGGGACACAAGCCTGTTATGTGTGAATGTTTTTTCCCACTTTGGGGGGGAGCAGTTAGGAGAAGGACTCCTGTCAATTTTATATTCTGCTTGTCACAAAGTAGCCTTTCAATAGCCTCCCTTCCAGAGCCCACTTGCTAGAGGATGGATCATGTCCTAGCATTAAGATTTTGGCTAGTGGTTTTGCCATAGAATATTTTTTCGGGTCAGGCCTGTCTTTTATTTTCAGTGCAGAGACATGACTAGATACTAGAAGATCAGAGAGCATCATTTGTTCATATATTTCTTGGTTATAGGCTGGCATCTCATCATTAGTAGTAGCCACTACATGGGTCATTACAAAACTTTTGAGATACACAAAAATCAAGAAATATAAAATCCACATGGATGGAAATAAAGGAAGCCCTCTCAGCAACACTAGTCAGCCCAACAAGCTGAGACTTGCACGAGTGAATCAAAAAGGATGCTGTCAGCTATGTTTCTTGGAAGTGAAATAATGGACTTTAACACAGCCTGTCTCAAAACTTTCATAGTGACCATATTTCAGCAAAGGTTCAGGCCCCAAAAAGGAAGACAGACAGGATATATAAATAATGTTCTTGGCTTATGTATCTAGCATGAGAAAAAGTTACCTTTAAGATTTTCAGTGAATGTCAATACTTGTTTGTGGTCTATATACCCAAGTTTTTTTATATTATTGTGATGTAATATGACTTTAATGTAATATCACTTTGTACCAATTCTCAAGAACTGAGTTAAGAATTCAAAATAAGCTTTTAAAATTTACAAGTCTGAGGCAGCACCTGTGGCTCAGTGGGTAGGGCACCCACCCCCATATACCGAGGGTGGTGGGTTCTAACGCAGCCCGGCCAAACCGCAACAAAAAGATAGCCGGGCGTTGTGGCGGGCGCCTGTAGTCCCAGCTACTTGGGAGGCTGAGATAAGAGACTCGCCTAAGCCCAAGAGCTGGAGGTTACTGTGAGCTGTGATGCTACAGCGCTCTACTGAGGGCAACAAAGGAAACTCTGTCTCTAAAAAAAAAAAAAAAAAAATTTACAATTCTGTTATATGATATTTTTCACTGGGGAAAAAATATACTAAAATATGTTATCTTGGGGTGGTGGGATTACTGGATAATTTTTATTTTATTTTTTATATCTTTCCCCAGTTGTACAAACTGACAATAATGACCACATTATATATATTATCAGAGGAGATAATTTATTTAAAATCTTTTTTTTTTGAGACATAATCTCACTTTGTCATCCTCAGTAGAGGGTAGAGGGCCATGGCATCATACCTCACAGCAACCTCAAACTCTTGAGCTTAGGCTGTCCTCTTGCCTCAGCCTCTCAAGTACCTGATACTACAGGCACCCACCACAATGCTTGGCTTGTTTTTCTATTTTTAGTAGAGACAGGGTCTTGCTCTTGCTCAGGCTGGTCTTGAACTCCTGAGCTCAGGCAATCCACCTGCCTTGGGCTCCCAGAGTACTGGGATACAAACATGAGCCACTGTGCCTGTTCTAAAATTTTTATTCTGAATAGCACAGAATCAAATGGTATTAAATGACCTTTATTAGATTTTAGGAGAAAGGGTAATTTCACGTTTCTTCTTTCATATTCATGGGAGGAGAAAAGATAAATGACACTGTGTATCATTAAAGGAGCACTGGACTAGAAGTCAGAAGACCTGGATTCTGGTTTCCATTTTGTCTGTTACTCACTGTCTGACCTTGTGCAAATCCTTACTCCTTGGGCCCAGTGTCTCTACTTATAAAATGAGTGACTTGCATGTGCTCTGGATTATATAATGACCCTCCTAGCTCTACAATTAGCGATAATTTTCTTAGAGTATGTGTTACCTCCAAATTGACCTGATAGTCAAGAATGTTGATGTAAAACCTTCTAGATCACCTGAAAAAAATCTAACGTGAGCTAAAAAGTATCTTTTGCTTGGCAACTCATATTTATAAAATTGACTTTGTAAATATATAGTACTTAAATTCTTAGATCAAAAGTAAAAACTGAAATATTTAGGTTTTCAAGTCTGAGGCAGCTTGCCACTAATATGTGAGAACGGCATTCTGGGGACGTTCCAGAATATATCTGTGCAGATTTGCAGCGTTACCAGATATCAGCGTGGTTCATCTTCATCTCCACTGTGTAGTGTCTGGGCTTTAATTCTGTGCGTGACATTTCTCTGTTGGTATTAATTTAGGTCTCTCGGCTGCTGGGGGTGTTCCACAACCCAAAACAGGTGACCAGAGGTTTTGCTGGTGGTGTGAGTATAATTACGTCTTTTTTTTTTTTCCCTTTTAGAAGTTTCTCAAGAAACATACTCTAATATATTTACTATATAGCAATTTATCTCCATTTATTTAAAAGTAGGGGAAATTGGCCTTATAATGTATATTGAAATTATTGGCTCACATTCATAGTTCTATTAGATCCCTTGCATCTGTAAAAGAATTATATTACAGCTAGCTATAGAGGAATTAATATCTTAAGGGAGCTTTGTTAAAAATAGACAGAAATTACCCTTGAGGCTTTTATTTCACAACCTCATTTTGGTGAGATAGTTTTTTTTTCAAAACAAGTACAAATTGAGAGAAAATTGTTGAGAAGCTTCAAAACCTGCTTCGCATTTTTATTTGGTGAGCTTCCCTGAAAACAGTAGATTGATTGCCAATTAGGAATGCTTCAAACATCTTTAAGCCCTGTAGGCTTCCACCTTCTCTTAGCTAGTTTTTATAGACCAGTGGTTCTCAACCTTCCTAATGCCACGACCCTTTAATACTGTTCCTGTGGGTCGCGACCCGCAGGTTGAGAACTGCTGTTATAGATGATCACATCAGTGGGTCATCTCTTGCTTGTTAAATCTGCTGCTTTTAGAATCCCCAGCATTGGGTTCCTGTGCTTGAAAGCTGATACCACATTTTTAGAACATTCTAAGACTGGGGGTCAGTGACTTCCTATTTGGTTTTTTTTTACCCCCTTTTATGGAATCTGATTTGGATTTCATGTAATTCCTATACTCCCACATAACGCCTTAGACCAGGAGGGATTTGTTAGCCCATGGTACATATTTTTCCCCCATTTACTTTCTGTACTGTGGAAGAAAAGTAGATTTTCTGGTGGCTTGATGACATTTATTATTACATGTTGGGGGAACAGGAAGGTGTAAGCAAAGAATTCTTTTGGTTTTGCTTGTGCAAAAAATGTGCAATGAGCCTTACACTTCAAGGCCAAGGATGGCAAAGGTAGCATTTCAAACGCATTCCTAAAGCTGATGAAATGGTCATTGTGCTCTGCTAGAATTTAATTCATAAAATTTTAAATTAACCTAATAGAAGGGATTATTTTTGAAGAAGTAAGAAATACTAATTTGTAAAGTGATTTTTTTAGTTGTACAGAAAAATTCAGAAATAATTAGTTCAAGGGATATCATTAGAAGAGAGAGGACCAGGAAACTTGAATTAGTGATTTTTCTAAAAACGTGCCTCAAGCGACTGATACTGAAAAAGGCTGGGAACCGTTGTCTGGGCCAAACCCTAGATGTGACAAAGTAAGCAAATAATAAAGGTATAGATTTCAAATGGAAGGAGACGGTCTGAATATTATCTTACCTCCTGTAAATCCTCTGATCTTTTCCCTGTATGCATTTTTATTTCTGTGTTTGAAATGCTAGTTTCATTTTGCCTGAAGCCTTTGGAAGAAATCATTGCACTTATTGTCATTCCAAGTGTAACTCAGGCTTTGCAGGCATGATCACATAAGCTGTTCTTACAAATCAAATTTGCTGGGCTTATTTAGATACTCTTGACTTTAAGGAGTCAGTAAAATGAGAGCTGTCTCGATTTGAAGTTCACTTTTCTCTGAGTACCAAAGCAGACCTCAGTGATATCCTGGAAATTTATCTCAAAGCCTTTTTTTATTTTGTTAAGTTTTTTTGTTTTCTTTTGAGAGTTTCACTCTGTTGCCCAGGCTAGAGTAGTGTGGTGTAATAGCTCACAGCAACCTCAAACTCCTGGGCTCAAGTAGTCCCCCTGCCTTAGCCTCCTGAGTAGCCGGGAGTATAGGCACCCACTACAATGCCCAGCTAGTTTTTTGTAGAGATGGGGTCTTGCTCTTGCTCAGGCTAGCCTTGAACTTCCTGAGCTCAAGCGATCTTCTGGTCTCAGCCTCCCAGAATGCTGGGATTATAGGTCTGAGCCGCCACCCAGCCTATCTGAAAATGTTTTGTAAGACTGAAGAGGCTGCAAGAGAAACTTTAGGATCAAATGGAAAGTACTTGCCTATAAGAGAAACCCTCTAAATCTTAGTGAGGGAACAGGGGAACATTGTTAACATTTCTTTACTATCTTTACCTTTAACAATTTGAATTAATTGTTCTCTGTAAATTCTCTGAAAAGAAATACCAGTTGGGAAGTCTAGTTGATAGTCCAGTTTGTTTTTGTTTTATGTAAAGAGTGTTACTTGAGTTCTTTTTAAACCTCTGAACTCAGGTAAAGAGTAGACTTGTGGAATCTCTTATTGTGGACTCCTGCCTCCTCTTTGATGATCCTGGGGGAGGTATGTCTGTTTTCTTATCAGCATTCAAATCTTTTTGAGACACCCACGTAAAACAGATTTCTCTGTCAATAATATTCTTTTTTCTAAACCTTCAAAAATAAGTTCTTACTGTCTCCTTTGGTGATTTCTTATATTCAGGTACAGACAGTAACTTTAATTCCAGGAGATGGTATTGGCCCAGAAATTTCAGCTGCAGTTATGAAGATTTTTGATGCTGCCAAAGTAAGTGGGTTTAAAAATTATGTTTAATAATAATTCCTTGAAAAGTTTGCTATGTTTAATAATAATTCATCAGAAAGTTCTCTTAGCCAGTTGGAGTCTGTGAGCTCTTGGGATGAATTATACACATTTCTGTAAATGTTGGTAAGGTCTGTTGTTCATACCCACAGATTGTCACTTGAGTAGTGTGTGTCTCCGTGCCATCCGCTACTGCCATTGTTGGTCGTGTAAGCTATTACATTGACACCAATTGCATATGAATAATCAAAGAAGTCCAGCAGTATTTACACCCTCCCAATCACCTGTCTACTTCATTCTGCCTTTTTGTGGAAAGGGAATAGAATTAAACATCTATCTAAGAGCTTTTGAGAGAATCTTCAAAAAAAATTTTCTGATGTGTTATCAAGAAGGAGGTATTATTACTTCTAACAGCCCATCCTTCAATATTTTTGTTTTTGGGATTTAGGGCCATTGGCCTTTGCTTGACATGGTGCTTTTTTGTTGTTATTTGCAACTGGTAGGTGAAATAACATGTAGGATTAAACCACTCATGGTTATGATATCAATAGCTGTAAACTGAAGAACAAAATTTCCTTAAGCTATATGAACTTTTTTTTAGGAGTTTCTAATTAAAACTCCTACAGAAGAGGTTTTGTTTGTTAAGTGGCAAATTTTGCATGTGAACTGTAGTTGACTGATCACCTAAGCGCCTTGTAAAGGAAACCGCGTCTTGCTCTGTGCTTGTGTCTCAGGACGTGTGCAGTCAGCATATAGGCTGGCACATATGTGTGCACACATGAAGGATATGGGTAGAAAAGAAAAGGAATACTGGCTTATACCTCAAACTGGTACCTTCAGAGGTTATGTAATATTTGGTTTTTTAAAATAGCTTATTGAGATATAATTGACATACCATAAAATTCACTCACTTAAACTATATGTTTCAATTCAGTGATTTCTAGTACATTCACAGAGTTATATGGTCATCACCACAATCTAGTTTTAGAACATTTTTTATTTTATTTTTTTTTTTCCTTTTTGAGATAGAGTTTCCTTTTGTCACCCTGGGTAGACATAGCTCATAGCAACCTCACACCCTTGGGCTTAAGCTATCCTCTTGTCTCAGCCTCCCAAGTAGCTGGGACTACAGGTGACCGCCATGACCCCTGGCTAGTTTTTCAATTTTTTTTTTTTTTTTTAGTAGAAACAGGGTCTCACTCTTGCTCAGGCCGCTCTTAAACTCTTGAGCTAACAGTCTATCCATCCACATTAGCCTCCCAGAGTACTAAGATTACAAGTGTGAGCTAACATGCCCAGCCTAATTTTAGAACATTTTTATCCCCAAAATGAAACTCTACACCCCGTAGCAGTCACTCCCTATTCTTCCTCCCTCCCTCGCCCCCTAACCTCTCACCCTTTTCCCTGCCCAGCCCTAGACGACCAGCCACTCATCTGCTTTCTGTCTCTGTAGATTTTCCTGTCCTGGGCATTTCACATGAATTATTCTTATATGGGCTTTTATGATTGACTTATTGTTTTGAGACAGAATCTCACTCTCTTGCCCTGGGTAGAGTGCTGTGGTGTCAGCCTAGCTCATAGCAACCTCAAACTCTTGGGCTCAAGTGATCCTTCTCCCTCAGCCTTACAAGTAGCTGGGACTATAGGCGCCTGCCACCATGTCCAGCTAATTTTTCTATTTTTGGTAGAGATGGGGTTTCACTCTTGCTCGGGCTGGTCTCAAACTCCTGAGCTCAAGCAATCGACCTGCCTCAGCCTCCCAGAGTGCTAGGATTGCAGGTGTGAGTCACTGCACCTGGCCTGTGATTGGCTTCTTATACTTAGCATCCATGTATCAGTACTGTATAATGTTTTCTATGAGCCATTTCCTCTGTTCCTTATGATTTTCTAATTGTAGTCTCCTTCAGAGTCCTTGTGAAAAAAATAAGTGGGCAGGGGGTGGCTAGGAGTGATGCCTCGGTGAGGGTAATGCTGCAGAATGACACTCTTTACATGCTGAGGACTTTCTGGACCTGTAGTGTCCAAGTTGAGGAAGTTTGTGTATCATTTTAGTCTGACTTAAGTCTTTCCGGCTCACTGTGGTCTGTGGTGTGGCATCTAGGCGCCGATTCAGTGGGAAGAGCGGAATGTCACGGCCATTCAAGGACCCGGAGGAAAGTGGATGATCCCTTCAGAAGCCAAAGAGTCCATGGATAAGAACAAGATGGGCTTGAAAGGTAGCACTGAAGGGGAGATGGTGGTTATGATTGATTTCTGCCACAGGTGTTGTGTTTTTGAAAGTTTATTCATTTGAGCTAAATAAGGCCTCACCATCTCTAGTATATGGTGAGGATTAGATAATGTCAAACGCATGATATAATGCATGGTCCTCAGGAAGTTCTCAAAATGAGAAATGCAGTTCATGTTCCAGAAAGCTTCCATGAGGAAATTTTCGTCCTTTATTTAAATCTGATGGAGTGGGTGAGTTAGAGGCAGAACACATTTTGCAGGCTGGCCCAGGTGGGTTAGTGGGTCACAGGTGAGATCTGAATGCGTTCTGTCATCATCTGGGTATTCTTCTTTCCTACAGGCCCTTTAAAGACCCCAATAGCAGCTGGTCACCCATCTATGAATTTATTGCTGCGTAAAACATTTGACCTTTATGCAAATGTCCGACCATGTGTCTCAATTGAAGGCTATAAAACCCCTTACACCGATGTAAATATTGTCACCATTCGAGAGAACACGGAAGGAGAATATAGTGGAATTGAGCATGTGGTATGTTCTTTTTTTATTCCTAGCTGGGCTGCTTTCTGTGTAGTTGGGACAGTTGTTCAAACTCCTAGTGGAAAATTGCTGCTGAAGACCGATCGGTTTCCCTCTGTGAGGAGTTGTGGGTGTTCGTCTTGGCACTGGGTCTCTGGCCAACCGTGCTCCAGGGGCTGCCAAGAGGGGTGGGGCCTGGTGGCTCAGGATGCAGGCGTGGGGACATGCTTTCTGAGTTCTCAGTCCCCCACTTCAGGGGGGTACTCTTGGGCTGGTGGCCATCCCTGCACCTTAGTTTTCCTTACTTGTGCTCACAGGGGTAGGGTAACACAAACCCTGTGATGTACTGTGTGGGTGACTCCAGCTACGGTCGATGGCGCTGTGCAGATGTGCCACCATGACACTGTCTGCACGTTGCCTGCTGTCTCAAGCCAAGCTGTTGCCGTACCCGTAGGTGGCTCTTCCTCTTTCAGATCGTCGATGGAGTTGTGCAGAGTATCAAGCTCATCACGGAGGCAGCGAGCAAGCGTATCGCCGAGTTTGCCTTTGAGTACGCCCGGAACAACCACAGGAGCAACGTCACGGCTGTGCACAAAGCCAACATCATGTGAGTCCCTGCATGGTGGCACCCTGCCTTGCTTTGTGGTGGGGACAGCAGTGACAGAGCCTTTATCTCAGCAGCTTGCTCACTGGTTGCTGATGTCTCTGAGAAAGAGCCTTTAGCAATCCCAGTCTGGCATTTCTGTTTTGTCGTAATCTTACTGCGCCTCCCTGGGTGTGTGACAGGAGCAAATGAGGGAGCAGGAATTCAGGTCCTAAAAATCTGAGGAGGGACTGAGGGTTATAAGCAGCGAAAGCTGGAGACCCTGGGTCCCCAGATGCTGTGGCAGTCAGCAGAGGCCATGCACTTTATGTTTTAGAAGTGGAGTAGTGGGAGTGTTTCTGAAGTGGCCATGTGCTCAGGGGCTGAAATAGTCAGTGCTAATGGTGCTGATAATGCTGATGTGTTACACCAGAGGTTCAAATTCTCCTCATCCAGACACTATTAAAGGCCATCTCGAATATATAAACACTTTTCCTAATCTAAGGAAAGTGCTGAACATGCAAAATTGTAAAACTATTTAAGTTAACCTTTTAAGGCAATTTTAATAATATTAACGAATATTTCTTAGTTCCTGCTAAACACTATAAAAATATTGTCTTCTCTATTATGATCAAACTATTTCATGCTTTTACCTTCTGTGCTTCAAGAAAGGTCCCAGAACATTTTCAACTTGCAGTTTATTAACTGCCTAAGAAATTGTTACTGTAATTGAAATCAGACATCTTGGCTTCTGGAACTTAAATTTCTTGAACTTAACTTTATATCTTTAATTTGATTCTTTTCTTCCTACAAGTCTTTGTTTTAAGCAGTTTTTATTTGATTAAATACAGGCGGATGTCAGATGGGCTTTTTCTGCAAAAGTGCAGGGAAGTTGCAGAAAACTGTAAAGATATTAAATTTAATGAGATGTACCTTGATACAGTATGTTTGAATGTAAGTATATATTCACTTACCTGCTTCTCTTTATGGTGAATGGTGTGTATGTGTGGTATGCAGTTTTTGATTGCTAAATACACAAATATATTCCTTGTAGATGGTACAAGATCCTTCCCAATTTGATGTTCTTGTTATGCCAAATTTGTATGGAGACATCCTTAGGTGAGTCTGAATGTACCCTTTGTACTTTAAGGCAATTTTAATAATATTTTAATGTATCTATGGTTTATTTTATTTTTTTATCTATAAAGATTTTATTTTTATTTTATTTATTTTTGGGGGACAGAGTCTCACTTTGTCCCCCTGGATATAGTACCATGTCATCATAGCTCACAGCAACCTCAAACTCTTGGGTTCAAGTAATCCTCTTGCTTCAGCCTCCTGAGTAGCTGAGACTGCAGGCGCCCACCACAATGCCTGGCTAATTTTTAGAGACAGGGTTTCACTCTTGTTCAGCCTGGTCTTGAACTCCTGAGCTCAGGTGATCCACTGACCTTGGCCTCCCAGAGGGCTAGGATTATAGGCATGAGCCACCACTCTGGCCTCTATAAAGGTTTTATTGTGCACAGAGGGAAGGGGTCTCAGTCCTTCCTGGCTGCCGTTTTCCTCATGGTGGCCAGAACGGTGCTCAGCTCCTCCTACTTCCTCTTAGCTTGGATGTGTGTCTTTTTTTTTTTTTTTTTTTTGCCCGGGGCTGTTTGAACCCGCCACTTCTGGCATATGGGGCCAGTGCCCCACTCCTTTTAGCCACAGGCGCTGCCCCCTCTACCTTTTTCTTGATGAACTTGAGGGCCCATTTGTCCTTGGAGACCTTGAGCAACTCCATAGCACACCACTCATAGGGTCAAAGCCACACACCTCTCAGAACATGTCCTGCACAAATTTAGTGGGTTTGGGAGGTGCCCATAGCAACAGCTGCCCCTTGGCTTGCTTACACTTTTGGTCATTTTGTGGCCCTTGTTGAGACCCACAGCCATGGGGTGAAATCTCCAATGGCTGCCCCGGCAGAAGCTAGTCTATGGTTTATTTGTAAATATTCCTAAAATAAATTGTAGCTTAACATCTTCAGTCAAGTATTATAAATATAGCATTTATTATAAGATGTGAGTTGAGTTCTGACAGTTCAGGTGATTCAGTGATTACAAGCTGGGTGGGTGGTTCATTTATTTGCAAGTCAGTGCTAGGCTATTTCTCCCCATAATCGTTAGTTCACTCTTCCTATTGTTCAGATGTTTTATTGATTGCTTAATTTTAAGTGTTTTGTTTGTATAGGTGGGTGGTCATTTATACAATTTTTTGGTAAACTTTTTACATAATTTCAGATTAACAAGAAAAGCTGTAAGAATGGTACAAAGAATTTCCTTATACTCAGCATCTAGATTTTTCAGATGTTAACATTTCCCAGTGTTTACTTTGTTACTTCTTTTTTTTTAATTGTTTGGGATTCATTGGACTTCGTTACTTCTTCCCACCCTCTTTCTTTTCTCTTTCTCTCTCTTCCCTCCTTTTCCCTTCTCTTCCTCCTCCTTTGACTATGTCTTTTTCTCTTTCCCTCCCTCTCCTCTGACATAAAATATCAGCTAAATGGTAATTTTTCTAAGTGTATTCTTTCTACATTATCAATTGGCAGTCTACTGTAAGGATAAGCTTTTCTTCTTATTTATTTATATTTATTTGTTTACTTATTTATCTGCATCAGTAGTAGGCTCATAGTTTTCTGTTTTCTTCAGTAGTATGTCCATTGCTTTCAAGTTGTCCCACCCTGGCCAGTTGGGATCCCTTCCCTGTGTGTCCTTGCCCTTCTGGCATGGCCCTTTGTTCTTTGAGCCTGCCGTGCTTTCTGGCCCCGTGCAATGCTCCAAGCTCCTGCATTGCCTAACCTTGGCCCTGGAATCAGCCATGTCTGCAGGGAACCCTGGATCCTTTTACTGAAGAACGGTATTTAAAAACTAAAATCTGGGTGCTGGATGAGATATTTTATTTCTCAAAATATTCTTTGAAATGTTTTTCTGCCTCTAGTGACCTGTGTGCAGGATTGATTGGTGGTCTTGGTGTGACTCCAAGTGGCAACATTGGAGCCAATGGGGTTGCGATCTTCGAATCGGTAAGGACCCTGAGACCTAAAGTAGAGTTCGGGTCAGAAAAGCATGAGAACTCGGGAGGACTTACCTGTATAAATGTGTTTTAACTCTGAGTTTTTCAAATTTGAAAGGAAAATGAAACTTTGTTTGTGAGTGAGGCTTGTTTATGTAAGCTTGGTTTCTTCCTTTGTTTCCCTCCAGATATTTCTTTATGGTGTATCTTTCCTCCCTAAGACATTTTCACCACAAATTGACTGGAAAAGATTGTTGGTCCATATTTTTGTATTTCTCCTAGGCTTCATTTCTAAGATGTCTGTCGGATGAATTGTACACAGTAGCTTTCAGTAAATATGTTTTATTAGTGAGGAAAGATAATGAAGACCCCGTCTGCCCCAGAAGAGAGCTGTTAGTTTTTATCTCCCTCCTGCTGACGTGACTTTTCCCCATGTGCAGGTTCATGGCACTGCCCCGGACATTGCGGGCAAGGACATGGCCAATCCCACAGCCCTCCTGCTCAGCGCAGTGATGATGCTGCGCCACATGGGGCTGTTTGACCATGCTGCACGCATCGAGACCGCCTGCTTCGCTACGATTAAGGATGGAAAGGTAACTGAGTCTCAGCTTCTTCATGCTGGGTGAAATGCGCTTCTTCCATGTGTTTTATCTGTGTGATGGGGATGGACAATAGTGCTCAAGAGAGCCACAGGATAGGATGTCGAACAGGGATTCTTACTGGGGGCTCCCTGATTGAACTGGATTTGTGTACTTTCTGGAATGAGGATCAAATATTTCATCCAAAAAGCTTAAAGAAGCAGTAATGTAGAGCCATCAGTGTGCAGTGGGAAAAGTGTGGTTTGGGAACCAGAGTCAGATGCAGGCCCAGTCACCCTGTTAGCGGTATGATCTTGGCCAAGTTCATTAATTTTTATAGGTAGCCATGTGGTGTGAAAAGTAGCATTGACAGTGGCTGGATACAGCGGTGCCTGTGGCTCAGTGAGTAGGGCGCTGGCCCTATATACTGAGGGTGGCAGGTCGAACCTGGCCCCGGCTGAACTACAACAAAAAATAGCCAGGCATTGGTGGGTACCTGTAGTCCCAGCTACTCGGGAGGCTGAGGCAAGAGAATCGCCTAAGCCCGAGAGCTGGAGGTTGCTGTGAGCTGTGATGCAACGGTACTCTACTGAGGGCGACAAAGTGAGACTCTGTCTCTAAAATAAAAAACAATGGCTGGATACTTTCTAGACAGCCTTCATGTAATACAAAAACAATAAAGAAGTGGTATAAAAGTACTAATAATGGCTAATATGAATTGAATATTTACAGATTTTAAGTTCCATGTAGGTAGTATATATTTACATATGCATATATAGATATATTTCATCTCAGCAATTTTTTTCTACTGTTCTGTGAAGTAGATACTATAGTTAATCCCATTTAATTGATGAGGAAACTGAGGCACAAAGTGATTAAGTGATTTGTCCAAGGTCTTATAGCTCCTAATGGCAAGATTGGTGTTTACACTCAGTGTGGCTCTTACCCAGCATGCATCACTGCCTGTGGAAGGGGCCTGATGGGTCATTCCGAAAGTGAGAGGAGGGCAGAGGGAGGGAGTGACTTCACAATTTAATTGTGGTAAAATATATATAACATACAGTTTATCATTTTAAGGTGTACAGTTCAGTAATATTAAGTATATTCGCATTATTGTGTAACCACCACCACCACCACCAGTCCTCTCCAGACTTTTTCATCTTCCCAAACCGAACTGTGTGCTGGTCACACAGCTCCCTTTCTGCCGCCTCCCAGCCTGGCAGCCACCACTCTGCTTTCTGTCTCAGAATGTGACTATTCTAGGTGCCTCATCTAAGTGGAGTCATACAGTATTTTGTTTTTATGTCTGGGTTGTTTCACTTGGCATTATATCTTCAAAATTGACCCCTTGTTTTAAAAAAAATTCTATAATTTGAAATTACATCTGTGGCCAAAATGCAAGGAGTCTGGGCTTGTTTTTAACAGCCTCCTACTGACATTAGAGGGCATAAGATCTTGTTTTTTTATTCTGAAGCTATACTTGGAAAGTTATTCTCTAGAGCCCAGCAAGGTACTGAATTACACAGTGGGTCCTTTTAATTAATTGTATAGGATGGGAAAATAAAGACAATTAAATATGTTGAGGCCTGTTTGCAGTAAAGAGAGGATAAGCTAGTAGAACAAATTGGTTATATGGGAGACTTTATTTCCTAAAGAAGGAGGCTTGAGAGTAAGTGATTTAAGTAGTTTTTTGGTATTTGTTTCCAAGCCTTCAAAAATAGATCAGAACATGTCTGAAGTTTTTAACCTTTAAAAATTCTCCAAGGACTTTATGAAACTCTGGTTTAGATTTGCTTTCATTTAAATGTCCATGATCAACCAGTATTTCTTGGGGTCTATGTATGAACAAGGAGAAAATTTTAGAAAACTTCGCTGCTTTCCTTTGTATCGAAAATGCCTGATCTTTTCCGTGTTTTTGCATACCCTATCTTACTGGGTTTTCCTAGTCCTAGTGGGGTGGGTATATGGTGGCACCTCACTTTGAAATGAGCCACTGAATGGAAGAGCAGCCAAGTAACTTGCTCAGCTGGCATCTCATTGAGGGCTTTAAATGAAATTAGCCTTGGTTTAGTTGAGTGTGTGAATACATTTTTATTTTCGCTTTTGTCATTTCTCAGAGCTTAACAAAAGATTTGGGAGGCAATGCAAAATGCTCGGACTTCACAGAAGAAATCTGTCGCCGAGTAAAGGATTTAGACTAATGCTTCTGCAAATGGTATTCGCAGCAGTCACTCCAAATGGACACCACATAGACCTCTGTATAGGGTACCTGCCATTACATATGCATTTGGTTTGCTTGTTTCTTGACAGAGTACATTTTTAGATCTAGCCTTTTCTTAAGAAAATCTGAGCAAAGGATGCAAGCGATGTCTATAGGCCTGTTTCCAAAGGACTTTTTCCAAGTGCTGTTTTATTTATTAAATGTGTATCTGGTAAACATTTTTACTCCAAGTGGACTGTATCGTTTGCCATTCTTAACCATTTTACACTTCAGTTAAAATAGTTTTTTTTCAGCTGTAAATATCATGATACAGAATTAGTAAGAAAAAATATCTAACTTTTTAAAGAAAAACCCTATTTTCCTTGGTTTATGAATAAAATAGGATATTGACGTGATAGTACAAGATGATATTCTTATAAAACTAAACATGATAGTACAAGATGATATTCTTATAAAACTAAATAGGCACAAAAGAAGTTTCTTGGGAAAGTGCAAAGCAAAAACAATGAATGTGGTACATTTCTTAGTGATATGGAAAAGAGAGACAGATTTGTCCTCTACATGAATTACTGAGTGTGAATAAAAACTTCAGATCCAAGAAATACATAGTGAGAAATATAGTTTTTGTTAATAAGATATAGGTAATATATTACGTACAAAGACACATGCATTGTGTATGCAATTATTTTGTTATTTTGAGATTAATACTCCCTCAATAGCTTAGCTTTTTATAAAGCAAGGGAGCAGTACCTCTTTTTCACTGGACACGTGTTAAGCACTCTGAGTTGTCAGAGCCCTGAACCCCTGTACTGATAGTCGGTGTCTGCCAGGGAGCTGGCCACGCTGTGCATTTATTCTTGCATGTTGCTGCCTGGAAGTGGACCCCACTCCAGCGGGCACTGCTAGCTGCCTACTGCTGAAAGACCTGATCACATGTATTGTGTCTCTGTTGAGGAACTTGGGATCTGGCTATTAATTTTATATTTCAATGACAGCCCCTTTACCACCCCTAAAGCACCAAATCACTGCCCTCTGCCTCAGCAGTTCTAGTAAGAGAATGACTTTGCAGAGACAGGAGCTGACCCAGCCCAAGGTGATCACAAATTGTGCCACCTTGAGCCTGGGGCTGGAGTTTGGTCTCAGCTTTTGACCTTCAGGCACCTCCCGTGCACCTTCCCCTCCCCTCTGCCACAGCATGATTTTTCTTAATCTTCAGATACTAAGTCCGTTAACATTTTAGCCCACACCAAAGGCATCTCATGACCTCCCTTGGCCCTTGTGTGACATTGCAAACCTGTGGCTTTGCATCTAGTGTCAGGGGCATTTCTAAATAACAACAAATATTCCTGTGTGGGTCATTTTTAAAGCTTGTAACCAGACTTATAATCTTATATGTATTTTACTTTAAATTGCTGCTTCCTCTGTTTTATTGGACTGTACTAATTATCAGTGGTTCTTGGGTTCGAAATAATAAAAATTTCCAAAACTGCCTTTCTATCTGTTTTACTTAGTTCATTCTGGCTTGGCTTATTGCTAAGAATGGCTGCTTCTAGTATTCAGAGTGGAAGGAGTGGCCTGTTGGCTACCGGTTAACTCCAGAGTTGACTGCTTTACTAGAATTCTGCACCCATCCCCATCCTGCACCTTTGTTTATTCCAGGGCACTCACTAATGGTGGTTGTGTGCCCACTGCACACAGTCCTGTGGGTTAAATACCCACTACTCTCCAGACTGGATCCACCTGCTCAATTGACAAAAAATATCAGGTCTTTATTGACAGTTCTGTTAAAAAGTTTAATATTCAGATTATACATTAAATAGAATCAAATAGGTGGCAGCAGTTTTATTAAGCATGAAGTCAGTTGACATGCATGTGGAGGAGGTAATGGTGTCCACAGCTGGCAGTGTCCAACAGGATTCTGAAGTGGTCAGGCTGTTAGGCAAGTTATTACTGTGGGCTTTCCCTGCACACACACTGGTGATCCAGCCATTTCTCCCCACCTCCCTCCACAGCCTGCTGCTGTCTAGCCTGTTAGCTGTGCTAGCAGCTTGTTAATCTACCTGGAACTAAGGCCCAGAATTCTCTCCCCTTTATTTCTGGAAGGAGTGCTGATCTCATTTGCCACCTGAACAAAAAGCAGTACTTAAATAGAACTAAAACTACCCACATGTGGAGCTTCTCAGAACTGTCAGCTATTGTTGGGGTAAGATTGGCATATGAGGTGCTGGTGCCATATCCTTGCCTGGAGACCTAACAGACTTGCCCAGAAGAGTGCCCATGCCCAGACTGAAGAGACCAGGGCTCAGGAAGATGCTCGGAAGGCCTGCCGTCTGTCCTGAAGAAACTTGAAGCATGGCCCCTGGTTCCATTTTCTCCTTTTAATAAAAAGAGTCAATGATATCTTTGTACTTCTCCAAAACTGTGAGCCGCTTCAGTTTCATTGTGGGACCTAAAAGAGAAATTGGTAGAAATTAGTGAAGCTCAGCCTCTGAGAACTCTGAGAAGGTAAAGATCTGATTTCAGGCCAGTGCAGAGGCTCATGCCTGTAATCCCAGCACTCTGGGAGGCCAAGGTGGGTAGATGGCTTGAGCTCAAGAGTTTGAGACCAGCCTGAGCAAGAGGAAGACCCCTGTCTCTACTAAAAATAGAGGAAAACTAGCCAGGCATTGTGGGCACCTGTGGTCCCATCTACCTAGGAGGCTGAGGCAGGAGGACCACTTAAGCCCAAGAGTTTGAGGTTGCTGTGAGCTATGACACCACAGTACTCTATCCAGGACAACAGAGTAAGACTCAAAAAGAAAAAGATCCACATTCAGTGAGTCCTGTGACTCTGGGATGAAGCTAGATGATTTGGACAGACAGCTGGCCTCTAAGACAAGGAGCCCTCCTGGGGCTCCTGCTCCTGGTGCTGTCCCCTCCTCACTTGTCTCTTTTGGTCTGTGTGGCTCGCAGAGTATAGAGGAAGTGATAGTGTGTAACAGCAGGTTACAAAGGACTGCTGTTTCTTTCACGTACATAATAGAGTGGTGGAAGCCATTTTCACCTTATCCTTGACCTGCACCCATTCTTGATCCTTGGTCCATTTTCTATTATGCCCCTTGAATGAATAAATGATTCGGGCAATTAAATAAAAAAGACTATAGTTTCTGTCTCATGCTCCCTCTTGGATCATTTGGGGGTAAGCCAGCTACCATGTTTGAGGACACACTGGCAGCCTATGAAGAAGTGGCCAACAGCCAGTGAGGAGCTGAAGCCTGACAGCAACCACGCACGTAAGCACAGCTCTGGTGCTGGCCTCCCTGGCCCCGCTGCTCCTGTTTCCTGACCTACAGAAATGTGGATAATAAATGTTTTAAACTGTTACCGTTTGGGGATAATTTGTTACATAGTATAAATAATACATCATCTCTGAATTTTTGTGATAGTTCAGAAAAAAAAAGTTGGACGTAATGCTTTCTTTTTTCTTTTCCTTTTTTAAAGAGAAGGGGTCTTGTGCTATTGCCTCGGCTAGAGCGCAGTGGTGTGATCACTCCTGGGCTCAAGTGATCCTCCTGCTTTAGCCTCCCAAGTAGCTGGGACTACAGGCACCCACTGTCATACCTAGCTAGTTTTTAATTTTTTTTTGTAGAAACAAAGTCTTGCTGTATTTCCCAAGCTGGTGTCCAATTCCTGACCTCAAGCAGTCCTCCAGCTCAGCCCCCTAGATCAGGTGTCCTCAAACTACGGCCCACGGGCCACATGCAGCCCTCCTAGGACATTTATCCAGCCCACCAGGTGTTTTTGCTGTTTTTGCTGCCGCTGCCTGTCCTGCTTAGAGGCCACCTTGTGCTGGGGCCCTCCAACGGTCTGAGGGACAGTGAACTGGCCCCCTGTTTAAAAAGCTTGAGGACCCCTGCCCTAGATGCTGAGATTGCAGGTGTGAACATCCGCACCTGGCTGACACCATGCTTTGATGGACTGTGACAGGGCAGGGGAGCCCTAGTTGGGGTTGGAGGGGGCCTCTGCCGTGGTTTTTATGAATGCTTTTACCTAAATCTCTCTTCTTGCCCTTGGTTTCCCACCTCTAAAGCAAGGTCGAAAGGACTCTGATTTGAGGTCCTGCCTACCTTTAAGTCATTTTTGTGCCTGGCTCACTTTTAACTTTGTAACTGGAAACTTCAGAATACAAGTCATCTCTATTAACTTGGTAGAGAGGACACCTTCTGTCTGTGCATTCAGCAAGTTGGCACCAGACAACCAAATAAGCTCAAGGTCTGTGAGCTCAATGCAGCTCAGCATTACTGTGGATAGTTGCATCTGGGTTCAGCCTTGATGGGCTTGAGGGAATCTCACTGGAGAAGCCATTTTCACTTCTCCATGCCTTGAACATAGCAAGATGCTAAAGCTAAGAGCAACCTCATCTAGCCAGCTGAGGGTACACGAGAGCCCTTTTCTGCCTGTGTGCCGTGGTCTGGAATGGCCTCATCCTCTTACCTGTCACATGAGCTGACTTGCTGAAGATAACAGTAGTCTCAACCCTAGAGCCGGCGACTCCTGCTCCAACATTAGCTGCTCCATAGTGTTTGCCTGATAGTGCCACTGATTTTAGGGTCCCATAGTAGAGGCAAGGTTAAATGTGTGTTCGAATTGGTAAGTTCTAGCACATACACATCCAATAGGCTCTACACAACCAAGGCCATGTACCAGGCTCCCACAGGAAGGAGATAGCTGTGACCTTTTTTGCCATGGCTGCTTCAGAACAGATACCTGTCAGGCCCTTCTGCACGGACCTTAGAATAGTGAAAAGAAAAATACCTACCAAACTCTCCACCTGAAATGGAGAAGTCGCGCTCAAGAATGGCCCACTTCTGGATGTGGTAGGGTCGGGCTGCGGCATTCATGTTGACCCTCTGGATCCCCTCTTCAATGGCCTGATACACAGCGTCATCCCTCTTCCCCACAATCTCGGACACCGTGGTCGCTTTGCTGCCCACCCTCTGGCAGAACTCCACAGCTTGTTCAGTGAGGTTGTCAGTTGGGTCAGAGGTTTCTGGGTCCAGAGTGCACTGAAAAGCCAGAGGTAGATGAGGATGAAGCCTCACCTTGCGGGACACAGGCCCTGGTCCAGGGAGCATCTGTGCTATAGACAGTGACTTCACGATGAGGATCTCCTAATTCTCAAGCCACTGCTACCTCTGCCACACAATGGGGCCTAACACAGCAGCACCCTACTCCTTCTAGAACCATCTGTTTGAAACAGAGGCCATGTGGCTTCACATGCTTGCCATCAGCTGCAGCAAGACCTGTGTGGGCAAGGGTGGGGGCAGCAGCTCTTTGGGAGCTGAAATGTGCTGGTGACATGTCAAGGACCATCACAGCCACATACCGGGGACAGGAGGAGTTCTGTGTGCTGCAGCTGCTCCATGGTGCAGGCAGCATTGACTACTCTTAATCTGGAATAAAACCATGAGCTCCAGGTGTGCCCTGGGCTGAGCATGGCTTCTGCAGGGCCGGATCCACAGACCCCCACCTGCTGTGGCTCCTCCAGAGCCAGAATCCCCTGGACACACCTTCAAAGTGAGCAGCATGGACAGGAACTTCCTCTGGTCCCCGATCAGCATGGCGTTGCTGACGATGGGCAGCTCCACTTTCACAGCCTCCTCGATGGGCACAGGGGGCACATTCTCCCCACCGGCTGTGATGATTAGTTCTGGGGAGGGAAGGTCGGGCCCACCAGACTGTAGTCCTAGTGCCCAGGCTGGACCACAACCCAGACTCAGCCACAGCCTGGGAGCTCAGGACAGAAGGTGGTGCTGCCAGGACAGCCCCTGTCTGGGAGCCAAGAAGCAGTACCAGGCCCCTCTGAAGCCTCTCACAGCTGCTGGGGGACAGTGGCAGTCCCCAAGGATAAATGCTCCACTAGGGATCCCTCTCCTCCGTTCATCATCCGAGACTCTGGCTGCTCAGACATCTCATCCGGCCCTCCGTCAGCCCAGTGCCTCAGTGGACCTCTCACCCTGGCCTCTAGACAGCCCGTGTCATGTCCCCTCCCTGCCTCTGCTGAGTAACCACCACGGCCACCACTCACTTCACAAGCAGCCACTTGTTTACTCTGCACAGGAATCCCATGAAGACACAGGCACTCATTATTTTATTTACCCGCATCTTTTGCTGCCAGTAAATAATAAAAATCCTTAGCAAACAAGATCTAGAAAGGAACTTACTTAGTCTGGTAAAGAATATCTACAGAAAATCCACAGCAAACATAAATAAAGATAAAATATTTAAAGCTTTTCCTGAGATTGGACACAAAACAAGGATGAACAGTACGACCACTTCTATTCAACAGCCTTCTAGAGGTCCTACTCCGTGAAATAAGGCAAGAAAAAAATCACTGGGAATGGAAAGGAGGAAGTGAAACTGTCATATTTGCAGAGGATATGATTGTGCCCATAGAAAATTCAAAACAATGTATACATTACTAAAAGGTGGACTAAGCAAGGTCGTTTGATACAAGGCCAATATGCAAAAACAATTGCATTTCTGTATAACAGCAGGAAAATATGTAAAACAAAAAAATTTTTTTTCTTCTGAGACAGAGTCTTACTCTGTTGCCCTGAGGAGAGCGCTATGGCATCATAGCTCACAGCAATCTCAAACTCTTAGGCTCAAGAGATCCTCTTGCCTCAGCCTCCTGAGTAGCTGGGACTACAGGTGTCTGTCACAATGTCTGGCTACTTTTAGAGATGGGGTGTTGCCCATGCGCAGGGTGGTCTTGAACTCCTGAGCTCAAACAATCCACCTGCTTCAGCCTCCCAGAGTGCTGGGATTATAGATGTGAGCCACTGTGACTAGCCAAGAATTTTTTTTTCTTTTGAGACAGAGTCTTACTATGTCACCCTTGGTAGAGTTCTGAGGTGTCACAGCTCACAGCAACCTCAAACTCTTGGGCTTAAGCTATTCTTTTACCTCAGCCTCCCAAGTAGCTGGGACTATAGGCACCGGCCACAATGCCTGGCTGTTTTTTTTGTTGCAGTTGTCATTGTTGTTTTTAGCTGGCCCTGGCTGAACCGAACCCACAAGCCTCGGTGTATGTGGCTGACACCCTACCCACTGAGCTATGGGTGCTGCCAGCCAAGAATTTTTTAATGACACTATTTACAATAGCATAACAATTTTTTAGAAGTAAAATATGAGGGAAGATGTGCAAAAATCTCTATACTAAAAACTATATACTATACTATTGAGAGAAATTTTAAAAGACCTAAGTAAATACAGGGAAGGATATACCGTGTCTATGGATTGGAAGACTTAATGTTGTAAAGATGTACCTCCTCACCAAATTAATCTATAAATTCAGTGGAATCAAAATCAAAATTCCAGCCAATTTTTTTGAGGAAATTGATGCAATGATTCTAAAATTCATTGTGAAATGCAAATGGCCAACCATAGCCAAGTTATTTTGAAGATGAAGACCAAGGATGTGGGACTTACAGAGTCTTGTATCTAGTTCTGTCATAAAGTTACAGGAATTAATACATTGGGGTATTGGTGCAAGGATAGGCAAACAGACCAGTGGAACAGAATAGAGTCCCAAGAATAGACCTCTCACTGGCAGTCACTTCATGAATGACACAGATGGCACTGCAAAGTTATGATGAAAGGATGGTCTTTTCTAGAAGTGATGCTGGGTCACTTGGATATGTATTTGGAGAAAAGGTTTCTGGACCCTTACCTCTTATCATACTAGTTCTAAGAGGAGGGCCAACTCTGTATAAACTTGGTTCTCTGCCTACTATCCTTTCCTGTTCTGGGATTCCAATCCCCTCACTTGCTGTTACAAAGGGGAACACTAGGTGGCACCCCCGCACACACGAGCAGCCACCTGTGGCTTCTGAGCAAAGGTTTTATCCAAGAGTACTGGCCAGGGCTCACAGGCCTTCACATCCCTGGGCCCAAACAATGCTAGGACCTCCTGTTCCTCCATGGAGTGTCAGAACCTCCATGGCCACCGGTTGGAACCTGGGCATGGTCACACATCTGCCTGAATGGTATCCAGAAAGTTGTTCACCCACTCACCAAACTTCATTTCCCCCCGGGAAACCCGGTATCTGATTCCCATGTGGGTGCATAAACATCTTTCCATGGAGGAATTCACATTTATTTCACTGACTGGGCAGAAAATTTATCTGAAGTCTCATTTTTTGTTTGTTTTGTTTTTGGAGACAGAGTCTCATTCTGTTGCCAGGGCTAGAGTGCCCTGGTGTCATAGCTCATAGCAACCTCAAACTTTTGGGCTCAGGTGATCCTCTTGCCTCAGCCTCTCAAGTGGCTGGGACTATAGGTGTCCACTACTATGCTTGGCTATTTTTTCTATTTTTAGTAGAGATAGCGATAGAGACATTCTTGCTCAGGTTGGTTTCGAACTCCTGAGCTCAAGCAATCCACCTACCTCGGCCTCCCAGAGTGCTAGGATTATGAGTGAGTCACCACATCCAGCCTGAACTCTTAATTTTATATCCAATTTGCGTTCTGTTCTCTATATCTGTGTTTGCATATACAAACACATATTTATGTCCTCAAGTCTTCTAGAAATATTTGCTTTGTTTTTCTAGGAGGTTTGAATTCTAGCGTCATCATTTTCTAGCTGGGTGAGCTTATGCAAGTTACTTATCCTCTCTGGAGATCCTTCTTGGTAAGACAGGGTAATATCAGTTCCTGTCCCCCAGGACAGAAGAGTAAGTAAAATGCTTTCAGTGAAGGTGCATGATGCTGGAAGCAGGTATAAATAGTGGTGGGAGGAGAATTCCTCCCATGCCCCACTGTAGCCTTGACCCCACCAGCAGGCCAGGGTACTCACCTTTGAGGCGCCCTGTGATATAGAGGAAGCCATCAGCATCCAGGTGGCCGGCGTCACCTGTGTGCAGCCAGCCGTCCTCGTCGATGGCCTCACGTGTCTTGTCCTCCATGTTGAGGTAGCCCATGAAGATGGTGCGGCCCCACAGGCAGATCTCCCCAATGCCCTCTGCATCCTGGTTCACCAGCTTCACCCGGCAGCCTGGCACCACTTTGCCTGAGCTGGTCGCCAGGGGCCGGAGAGGTGGTCAGAGAGGCTGCTGCCTCTAAGCCCAGGATGAGGGCCCACTGGGGAGCTGGGTTTTCAGCCCCATCTACTGATGACTAGATGGTGTCCCCTCCAGGGGTTTTCACATTTTAATAGGGGATTTAGAGAGGAAACGTAGCTCTAATTAAAGGGTTCTAGGTGAGTGGATGATGAATGAAATGTTAGTGGCAGAACGTGGAGCAGGTGCTGGGCTGGCAGGGAGGGCATGTATTTGAGCACAACAGATGACCCTTCAATGCCTGGAGCTGGCTGCCCCGCTCACCTACTAGAATTCTGGCCCAGTTCCTCCATTCCCACCCCAAATGGCCCATGGGCCATCAGCTATCCTGGAACAGCTGTAAGTATACCCCACATGAACAAGGAGTGGGGTAGAGGAAAATCGCTCCATCAGGAGTCAGGGACTCTCTGGGTAGTTCAGGCTATTTTCAGCCACAGATGATCATGACAGAGACCACCCCCATCAGGATGACAGTGTTGGCATTTGGGATCCCACCACCCACTGGCCAGATCTCTGGGACCCAATCCATGTGCAAAGAGGAGAGGGTTACCAAGGCATTCAGCATGGGAGTGCAGAGCTTATCAGCAAGGGTATGTGGCAGCTGCGGGCCTCACCTGTACAGCCGGTAGTTGTAGGGGCTGGACATAAAGTGGGGGCCTGAGGTCTCACTAAGGCCATAGCCTGCATACAAACGAATGTTGAGGCCCAGGAAGAAGTGCTGTGTCTCTGCGGTCATGGGTGCTGCTCCGTAGAAGCTCTTCTGACACTTGGCAAAGCCCAGTGCCTGGCGGACCTTGGCTAGCACCAGGTAATCTGCCAATCTAGTTGTGAAGGGCTTCAAGTCACTGGTGGGAGAGGGAGAGTGGTCCATGGAAGAAAACACACAAACACACACATGACATTGAAACAGTGGCCCCAACATTCTGGGCACCGGGAACCCGTTTCATAGAAGACAATTTTTCCATGTGTGGAATTGGAGCAGGGGTGGTTTGGGGGTGGTTGCGTCTCCACCTCAGATCATCAGGCATTAGATTCTTATAAGGAGGCAGGATCTAGGTCCCTTTTATGTGCAGTAGGGCTCATGCTCCATGAGAATCTAATGCTGCTGCTTCTCTGTTCAGGCGGAGCACAGTGGTCTATGCCTGTAATCCCAGCACTGTGGGAGGCTGAGGTGGGAAGATCACTTGAGCTCAGGAGGTAGAGACCAGCCTGAGCAAGAGCAAGACCATGTCTCTACTAAAAATAGGAAAAATTAGCTGGATGTTGTGACAGGCAGCCTGTAGTTGCAGGAGGATCGCTTGAGCTCAGGAGTTTAAGGTTGCAGTGAGCTATGATGACAAGATGGCACTCTAGCCTGGGTAACAGAGTGAGACTCTGTCTCCACAAAAAGAGAGAGAACAAAAAAAAAAGAGGCTGCGCTCAGGCAGTGATGCCAGTGATGGGGAGCAGCTGTAAATACAGATGAGGAAGCTTTCCTCAATCACTGGCCACTTACCTCCTGCTGTGTGGCCTGGTTGCTAACAGGCATGGACTAATACTGGTCTGTAGCCAGAGGATGGACACCACAGCATTAAAAAAGTGGGTGTTCAAGGGCTGGGCACAGTGGCTTACGCCTCTAATCCTAGCACTTGGGAGGTGAGGTGGGTGGATTGAGTCCAGCCTGAGCAAGAGTGAGACCCTGTCTCTAAAAAATAGCTGGGCATTGTGGCAGCCACCTATAGTCCCAGCTACTTGGGAGACTGAGGCAAGAGAATTACTTGAGCCTAAGATTTTGAGGTTGCAATAATCAAATTGCACACGAACTTTCTGTCCACCCTGTACCTGTTTACACGTGTGTGTCTGAATGTATACTTCAAGTCTCTGAACATGTGTGTGATTGCATGTGCAAACTGGTATGCATCTGTGCTGTTGCCTACACATTGGTACACTAATTACTAGTAAACGAATTTAAATTGCACACAAACTTTATGTCCACCCTGTATGATCCCACTGAAGCCCACAAATGTTTTCTTCATGCATGTTCACCTTTCATGTCTGTGCAAATGACACTGTGGGTGCACAGATGTGTACACCTCTCGAGAAACATACTGTTTCACAGACACACTGGGAATGGAGGCGACTTCTAAATTGAAACCAGGCCAGATTTATGTCACTGACCCTCCCCCAGCACTGTGGGGGAGCTTGAAAAGCAGTCCGAAGGGTGTGGGGAGGTACCCAAGCGGGATGCTAGAGAGGCTGGGAAGGCTCAGTCCCATCCCCTGGCCCATCCTTGATGCCCACTGAAGTCAGAAGACCTCAGAAGACTGTGGCAGAACCTGCCCCCAGGAGGTGAATACAGAGGAAGCATACAGTCCTGCCAGTCAGAGCCCAAAGATGGAGTGACTGTCCTCAGCAGGGTCTGGGAGGAGGACAGGAGAACAGGCCCCAGGCCTCTGCACAGGGGTCCCCAGAACTGACAGGTCCCTGGAGCAGTGACAAACCTGACCTGTCAGATTGGTAGTGTGTACAGGCCGTGACCCAGCCCTGCTGCCTCCCCCAGTGTGTGGCCCCGGGTCCCTCCTACCCCGTACCTGCTGGGGCAGGTGAGGTTCTGCTCCAAGGTCACCGACATGGCCCACAGTAGCATCTTGCGCCGGATGAAGCCAGACTGAGCTGCCACCTCCTGGATCCGCTCCATGATCTTCTCCCACACCCGTGGCACCCCCATGTGGGATGTGGGCTCCACCTCCCGCAGAGTGTTCACCAGCGTCCCCTGTGAGTGCCAGGAGAGGCAGGCCTCCCGGTCAGTGTGGTTCCCGGAGATCCCAGAGTCAGTGTGCACACATGCACAGGTGTGTACACACACACATACACACACATGCACGTGCGTGAGATGTGCACCACATGCTGTCTGCTCAATGGCCACCACCTCGCTCTTCTTTACGAAGAGAGCCCTGGTGGCAGTCAGCTATCAGGTGGCCGATGCTTCAGTGCCCTCCGTCCCTTCCCAGCCCTAAGCATGGTGACTTTATTATTAGTCTAAATCAAATATGACCATTCCATTCCACTAAGCAGCATTTGGTGTAGGAATAGACAAGTGACACTGCTTGCACCACTGAGATACAGGGTGGGGGAAGATCATTGGGGGGTTTCTTGGAAAGATTTTCTTCCAATTAAAATAAGGACCCAAAGAATAGGTGTAGTCTATGAGACTGGGATGCAGGGAGGGGCTGTGGCCACCTGACCATCTTGTGCTCCTACTCTGAGGGTGCTGCAAACCCAGCAAACCACTCGGACTTGACTTTATATTACGCCAACAGTTTCCCTTCTTGTTTGGTCATTTGAGTTGCTGAAAAAATGGCACCTGGCAGAATTCTGACTGATAAATGCACAGAAAACCAGCACACACGTGGGTGAACAAGTAGGGCCCACAGATGTGAGTGCATGCTTGGGATGGGTACACACAGGGCCCTTGCACTGGGCCAGCCACACAGCAGGGAGGCAGACTGACCTTAAGGGCGTCAGGCTCAGCAAAGCAGACCTGGGCCCCCCACTGGATGCCGGTCCACAAGTCGTAGATCTGGGCAGCGATGTGGCTGAGGGGCAGGTAGCTGACCACCACCTCCTGCTGCACTTCTGCTGGCTGGATGTCGCCAGCCTGGCTGCCGTACCGTGCTGTCCACGTGATCTGGAGGACATGTAAGCAGTGTCCACAAGCCAGTTCTGGCAGTATTCACAACTGCCGTCACCCTGGTTGCTGCGGCTTTTTCTTTGGGGATGTCCAGAGTGAGTGAGTACCATCCCTGGTGTCTGTGCAGGCCCTGGGAACCCCCAGGATAGGCCTCCTCCCTCCTCCCCCTTCCCTTGGACGGTTCAGTCTGGGCCAAAGACTGATGGGCTGCTCTGCTTATCTCAGCTCCCTGGGTCGGAGCTGGGGGTGGGGCAGGACCATGGCCCAGATCCACCCAGAGCCGCCCCCAGGCTGGGCCTCTGTCCTACATTGTCTTGGCTGAGCATCACCCCCTTGGGGGGGCCGGTGGTGCCTGACGTGTACACCAGCACACAGCACTGGTTGGGCTGCTGGTCATTAATGATGGCATCCAGGCTCTCCTCTGGCACCTCGTTCCCCAGCTCCATGAATTCTTCCATCTGTAGCCAGGAGGGGAACAGCGAGCGGCTCAGCTCAGTGGGGTGGGCCCAGACAGGCCCCACCTAGTGCCCAGGGACCACTGACCATACCGTGTACACGTTGGCTGTCTTCTCTGGGGGAGGCTCTTTATACATCACTACTGCCTTTAGATGTGGCAACTGCTTCCAGATCTGCATTGGTGGGAAAAATGAATTCATTTTAGCAAGAAAAACATCACTTCGTAAGAAGAATCCCAGCTCCTGCTGGGCAGGCACTTTGTGGCAAAGGCTTCTGGAGTCTGCACTGCTGACCTTTGACCCTAGTAGGACAGTTAGCCTCCGTCATGAGAAGATGGGGATGGCAGAGGTGGGGATAGGCAAGGGGCAAGGAATGACTTTCTGTTAAGGGAAAACTACTGAACAAACTGTGTACGATCCAGCCGCACAGCAGAGTAGTACTAACACCACGTCTGCAGACGTGTCCAGAGTCCTACACACAGGCACAGAGTGAGTGGTTTCTAGAGTATAGCAGTCGTGGGAAAGGACTGTGCACAGTATGTGTACAGTATGCTGGCTTTGTGTAAGAAGGGGATACAGTGTGAAAATAGGTAAATTACATATATAGGGGAGCATATATTTATTTATATTTACAAAAAGAACCCTGAAAGGTTAGACCAAAAACTGATCAAAGTGAGTGTCTGTCGGCAGAGAAACGGAATAAAGGTAAGAAGAAGGGGATGGAAGCAAAAATTCCTTCCATCCAGTTCTACTTACCTTGATTTAATTTATTCCTTCCAAAATAAATTAGATTGTATATCCAGTTGGTGTTACACGAACACAAAAAGAATTACATCAAGGGATTTTATAGGGGTGCACTTTGATTCCTTTTTATTAGTGACACATACTCTAGGGGCAAAAAGGAATTCCAAACTTTATTCAGTAGTCTCATTGTTAGGCCCAATAATGACCCAGTAAGCTCCCTGTCATCCGGGACCCGAGCACCTGGCAGGTGACCCAGAGTTAAGCTGGTGCTTGGTGCATCCCTCCCGCAGCTCCCACGTGTCCTACTGAAACAGTTTTAAGTGTTCATGTGCAATACCTGAACCTAAAATATATAGTAGTGAAACTGAAAGTGCATTGACTGCCATTAAACTAAAACCATACACTGGGTTTACAAAGCTGTTTTGTAATTTTAGGTAGTGAAGCCTGCCTTTGTCTTAATTTTCTTTTCATTAGTGTATTTCAAGGTTAATATCAAGTCAGTACAGCGTTTATGGTGTGGTGTGGTGTAGTATGGAATATAGAGTTAGTTAAGCCTATTTTTTTTTCTTTTAAGACAGTCTCACTATGCTGCCCTCACTATGTTGCCCTTGGTAGAGTGCTGTGGCATCACAACTCACAGCAACCTCAAACTCTTAGGCTTAAGTGATTTTCTTGCTTCAGCCTCCCAAGCAGCTGGGACTACAGGTTTCCATCACAACGCCCAGCTATTTTTTGTTGCAGTTGCCGTTGTTGTTTAGCTGGCCTGAGCTGGGTTCAAGCCCTCTAGCCTCGGTGTATGTGGCTGGTGCTGTAACCATTGTGCTATGGGTGCCAAGCCAAGCCTATTTTTCATAGTAACTCTCAAGCCACCAGAAACTACATTTATTTAGAATTTACCAATCCTTATGGGTGCTGGATTATAGGGAGATTACTGTACTACTACTTTAAAATTACTTGATGTGTATTATAGGATTAGGTTAATATTACTACGAACTAAGACTTTATGGTAAGATAAAAGAAACGTAAGAAGAAATCAAATAAATCAAAAAAGCCCACAATGTATCACTTGAATCAAATGTCAGCGTGAACTTGTGATTTTTTGTTAAAATATATATTGCTGAGACTTCATTCTGGGCACAAGAAAGTAACACTATCCTCCCACGGTAAAGTTAGGAGACTGGACAAACTTAGAAAACAATCGATTTCAGATTATAGACAGCTAAGGACTGCCATCCTGAGAGAGGGCAGGTGAATTGGACAAGCCTCTGAGTACCCCAGGCTTCTCCCCACAGGAGATTCCAGGTTATGGCAGAGAGAAAGAGAAGACAGAATTTGATTATCTCACTGAGTTAAAGTTACAAAGATCAGAGCTTAGGAAACTGAGGTGGTAGAATTTGTGGGACCATATAATAGAGAGTATATGGTCTGACTGAGACCTTGCAGGTGGGTTGTTTTGAGACCAGAGTTAATTAAGACCCTGGGAGACTCCAAGAAGCAGCTGATACTCCTCAAAGTTGTGTATAAAATCCCAAACTGCACTTCCCATGAAGCCTGCAATTACTAGGCTGGGGCCCAACTTGCTGCGAAAGTTGTTAATAAATTTTGTTAAAAACTTTACAATTGGCTCTGAGCCTATGGCTCAAGTGGCTAAGGCACCAGCCACATACTCCTGAGCTGGTGGGTTTGAATCCAGCCCGGGCCCGCCAACAACAATGACGGCTGCAACCAAAAAATAGCTGGGCATTGTGGCAGGGGCCTGTAGTCCCAGCTACTTGGGAGGCAGAGGCAGGAGAATCACTTGAGCCCAGGAGCTGGAGGTTGCTGTGAGCTGTGATGCCACTGCACTCTACCCAGGGGGGACAGCTTGAGGCTCTGTCTCAAAAAACAAAAACAAAAAAAACTTTACAATTCTTTTGGTGACTACCTTGAGCCACCCACCATGCCACTCTAACAAATTCATTCTAGAATTATTCTAGAATAAGTGCTATATCTCTCATTGCTGAGTTTCACTGTGGCCACCTTTGAAGTACTCCCCTTGGGAAGCTGTGCACTGATGCCAGCACCTTGTCCACCCTTCAAAGCAATTTGGAAACTCTTTTTCTGGAATGACCAAAGGATGGGAGGGGAAGGACGTGTACTGCTCCATGTTGCATGTGAAGTGGTCTGATATTTGAGAGAGATTGTGGTAAGTTAAATATGCCAACAGTAAAGTCTAAGGTGAACACTGATATAGTAACAAAGGATAGCTAATAAGCCTGTGGGAATCAAATGCACTAACAAAACAAAACAGAACTCAACCCAAAGAAGTCTAGAAGAAGAAGAAAAGGAATTGAGAACTGATGAGACAAGTGGGAAACAAATGTCAAATGGTGGATTTATAGACAATTTTGTCAGATTGGATGAAGGGCAAGACCTAGCTATATGCTGTCTGCCAGAAACTCACTGTAAAGACACAAGTTAAAAGTAAAAGAATACAGGGTGGAGCCTGTGGCTCAGTGGGTAGGGCACCGGCCCCATATACTGAGGGTGGCGGGTTCAAACCCTGCCCCAGCCAAACTGCAACCAAAAAGTAGCCGGGCGTTGTGGTGGGTGCCTGTAGTCCCAAATACTTGGGAGGCTGAGGCAAGAGAATCACCTAAGCCCAAGAGCTGGAGGTTGTTGTGAGCTGTGACGCTATAGCACTCTACTAAGGTTAACAAAGTAAGACTCTGTTTCAAAAAAAAAAAAAAAAGAAAAGTAAAAGAATACAAAATATATACAAGCAAATATTAATTGTAAGAAGTCTGGAATGGCTATAATAATTTGAGGCAATGGAACAATAACTCTTACTTGGAACAATAACTCTGACCAGGACTAAAGAGGGATACTTCATAAGGATTAACTTATCAAGAGAACATAATAATTTAAACATGTAAATGCCTAATAACAATGCTTTAAAATATATGAAGCAAAAATGGATAGAACTACAAGAAAAAAATTGATAAGTGCAATCACTTATCTCCAATAATAATTGGAGATTTTAATACTCTTTTTTCTCAGTATTTGATAGAATGAGTAGACTGAAAATCAGTAGAGATATGGAAGATTTAAACAACACTATAAAACTACCAACGAACTTGACATAATTAACATTTATAAAACATTTTGCCCAACAACTGCAGAATACACATTTTAAAAATATATACATGGAATATTCACCCCTATTGACCATTATTCTATCATATGTGCTCCCTACAAACAGGTACCAAAGAGCCCAAGATAATAAGGGAAAGTTTTCCCTTTGGAGAAGAATTCTAGCCACTGAATTAGAAAACCAACATTTTTCCATCCATCATAAAATAGCTAATTCAGACAAAGATCATCAATAAATATTGAAACCATGAGGAAAGAGCCTGACAGGGAAGGTGGCAGTGGAGGATGAAGTGAGCACCGTCTGAGTCCCCTGTTGACTCCTGTCACCACAGAGAGTGTTACCACCTGCCATCAGGAGCCTTTGCCAGCCCTATGCTGTGAAGCACACAGGCCCACTTAGGAAGTGTCCTTCTCCAAAAGGGTTTATTCTGAAATCTATCAGACCTTTAGATCTAACAGGAAATACAGAGGTTAGAGGAACAAACTCAACGACAACAAGAAGCAGACAAATCCCCAACGTGAGAACTGGTTCAAGACCGCTGACCTAGTTTCTGCAGAGTCTGTGGGGGAGGCTCTCACACCAGAATGTGTGTCAGAATCACCAGAGGGCTTGTTAGACACTGGGTGGCCGGCCCACACCCTGAATATTTTTTTAGAAAGTAGCATGGTGTTTGCCAGGAGAGAATGAGGAGTTCAGGTTTAAGGAGCACAGAGGGAGTTTCAGCTTTGTGAGATCAGAAGAGTTGTGGAGATAGATCATGGTGATGGTTGACAACAGTGTGAGGGCTGTTAACCGCCCTGTGCCCTTAAAAACGGTTAAGTGCTGGGCGCGCTGGCTCATACCTGTAATCCTAGCCCTCTAGGAGGCTGAGGCAGGTGGATTGCTTGAGCTCAGGAGTTTGAGACCAGCCTGATTTTAGAAACACTAGCTGGGTGTTGTGGCAGACACCTGCAGTCCCAGCTAATTGGGAGGCTGAGGCAGGAAGATGTCTTGAGCTCAGGAGTTTGAAATTGCTGTGAGCTATAACACCATGGCACTCTAGCCTGAGCAACACAGTGAGACTATGTCTCCAAAAAATAAATACTAAATAAATAAATAGTTAAAAGGTAAATTTTATGTTATATATATTTTCCCACAATTAAAATATTGGAAAAATGAGGTCTCTCTCACCTTTTCTCCTTCACGAAAGGGACCCATTTCCAACTCTCTTTGAAAGTGCTCTAAACTTTCTCTTTGTTCTTTTTAAAAAAAAATAAAAATAAAAAATTGGGAAATGACATTGCGTGTATACCAGATGATATGAAAGAATTCTTTTACTTGTGCTAGATGTGATCAAGTTACAGAGATTCTTTGAGGAAGATTTCACAGTTTTTAAGAGATGGACATTGAACTATTCAGAGCATAAAAGAACATTATTTCAGAGATTTGTCTTCAAGTACTTCAGCAGACCGAAAAATGGAAGAAGCAAGTGTGATGAAAACACACTGATACAGTTACTGAATCTGAGGATAGACAAGGAGCATAGGAGGATTCTCTTCATTTTTGTTTTAAAAACTTACTAGTACAAATTTTATTTAAAATAATGACTTAGGGAGGTCATTTCCTAACTCTGGGCCTCAGTTTCTTTAGCTGCAAAATGAGGATGGAGTGAAATTTGGAAAATGAGGATGGAGTGAAATTTGGATTAGATCAACAGCCTATGCAGGTACCTCTCTGAAGGGCCTGGCAAAGTTTACTGGGAGGCCTTATAGGTTCCCCAGTATTCCCCGTCCCAGATTCTGATATGAGCAAGAATACTGGGGAACACCTTACTCCCTTGAGAGAGGCTGAGGAGAAGAGCTCACCACCGGGAACTGGGCAACTCAGGCCCCTATCAGCTTGTCTGTCATGAAAATCTTAACCTATCAAGGCCCTGGGCTTTGGCTGGGGCTTACAGAGGGGACCCAAGGATCCATTTGCCTCTGAGGCCACTGGGATCTACAAAGTCTCCAAACTTGAAGAAATCAGGGCCACACCAAGCGCTGGGGGCCTGGGCAGGCCAGCGAGGGGACATCGCTACTGGGGGCTGAGGGGTGGAGTAGGGAGGAGGCACCGAGGTTGGCTCAGGCTCTCCTAGGCCTCTCTGAGCAGTTCACTGGAAACTGTGAGATCTGCACCCTCCTGTCCTTTCCCAGTCTGGAGCATGTGTCCAAGTCAGAATGGAGACATTCATAATGACAGATTCTGAAAACACGGGATTCAAGAGGACCCAAGAGAGAAAAGGGCCCCATGAGGAGGCAAGACTGCCCCTCGGTAGAATGAGCCCATCTGATACTCTCATAGGAAGACAGCATCAGCCCAAAATGCCGTGAAAGAGAGGGCTTTCAAAATAACCCAGAAATGGCATAAAAGAGGGTGTCACATGGACTAGAGCAAACCCTCCAAAAGGCCTGGAACCCGAGGCTGGAACGGGCCGAGTGCAAAATGCAGATATGGGGTCCCTTGCCCATGTCTTTTTGAGAATTTCAAGATGTGACAGCTGAGCATGAAACTAAGCTCAGGCCTTATGTGAGGGGAAGGATTGGGGGCTGGGGCGTCCCTCCACCCCTCTCCCACAGTGGTTCTGGGCTCCAAGGGCTATAAGGAGCTAGGCCCCACTGTCCATTTCCTTCCTGTCCTGCCAGGGCACACTGAGCCCCTCCCCATGGAGGAGGGGCATGCTCTGGATTAGTGGTTGTGGGGGGTATTCAGAGCAGACCCTGCACTCCTATGTTCTCTGTGTGTGATGTACCATGGAGAGATGTTACCCATGCTCACAAATGTCCCCAGGCTCCCCATAAGGACCTGTAGTTCAGAGTGTGAGCTGGAGTCTGTCTACTGGCCCTGCAAGGGACGGGGTTCGAGTGAGCCGCCTGTCCCCTCTCTGGCCCTTGGCCTCAGGCTGCTGAGAGATGTAGGAAGTGAGGTAGGGTTGGGACCCTGTGAACAGCATCTGCAACTCTTACTGCAGCTAAGCTGTGGTGCTGCCTCCTTGGACCCTCCCTGTCCACCCTGGGTCTGTTTCCTCGTGTCACATGGAGAGGGCAGGTGCTGGGGAGATGCCTTTACCAGTCCCTCAAGCTCCCCAAGTTCCCTAGGTTTTACAAAGAACCCCTTTCTTTCTTCTCTTGCAATTCAAGACTTTTAACAACCTAAAAGTTTAAAAGCATTTATGTGGCACTGCTATGGGACAAATTGTGCCACCCAAAGTCCCAAGCCCAGTACCTCGGAATGTGACCTTATTTGGACACAGTCTTCACAGAGGTAACAAAGTTAAAACGAACTCATCAGTGTGGGCCCTGATCCATTATGTTCAGTGTCCTCATAAAAAGGAGACACTTGGTTACGGAGATGTGGCAGAGAAGACAAGGTGGAGACATATGGGGGACACCGAGTGAAGATGAAGGCAGAGGTCTGGGTGATGCGTCTGCAGGCCAAGGGACATCCAGACTGCCACCCACCACCAGGAACCACACGGCTGGTGGGGATCTATTACAGCAGCCTTGGCAAACTCATGCAAGTGCCCACCAAGGGCCAGGCACCCTGCCAAGAATTACCCTCATCACAGTCCCTTGAGATGACTACTGTGAAAGTTAGGTTGCCAACATTCCCCCAGCCCCAGGCTATGCAGAATCCGAGCCCTGAAAGTCCAGCCTCAGAGCCTGTGTGAACCACCCTTCTCCTCACCCCCTCCCAGGTTAGACCCTGACATGGCACCTTTGTGCTTCTAGCCTGAGTGGTTCTGAGGTCTTCCCAGGGATTCTTTTCCTTGGCTATGTGCTCACAGACTCATCCAAGGGAGATGTCGTAAAACTTACTCTGATTTGGCCCTCCTTCAGAGATTCTGCCTCAGGGGTCCAGGCTGCAACCAGGGTCTGCCTGGGGGTTCTGGTGTGACTTGCTTTTATTTTTCAGTCTAAAGGAGTCTGATCTCCACTACAGATCAGAGAAGGCACCTGCTCTGGCCCCTCTGGGGATCAAGGTCCCACAGTCCTTGAAGGTTGGAGACCACTTGTCCCACCCTCAGGTCCAGGAGAGGAGGCTGAGTCCCCCTGCTCTTTCAAACAGGTTAGCACCACTGCCTGTGTGCATGTGTGCATGCGTGTGTGTGTGTGTGTGTGTGTGTGTGTGTGTGTGAGGGGTCGCTGCTGCCAAGGACAAGAGGCTGCATGGGAGGTGGAGAGGCCCCTCTGCAAGCTAGGTGGAGGTCTTTGAGGATGTGCCATCTCTGATCCCACGCCTGCTTCCCCTTTGCCCAAACCTTCAAGATCTTTTCCAGCTGCTTCTGCGTGTCCACCACGATGACGTTGGCGCGGCAGTCATGAGCAATGTACTGGCAGGCCTCAGGGGAGCTGGTTGTGTAGATGCCGGTGACGATGCCACTGCAGGAAACCCCAGAGGATTCACATCAAGACAGGTGCAGAGGGGCCAGCCCTGGCCCCCAGACCCACCCCCGCAGACCCTGCCTCGGAGCTCTCATGGCCTCAACAGGCAGGGCTCCCTGCCTCCTAGGCACTGTCACTGGACAGAAGTGGGGCAAAGGCAGGTCTGTGAGAAGGCCCCAGGGAAGTGGCGGGATGCTGGGGAGTGGGTAGGGACCTCCAGAAAGAGGTCACAACCCTCTCCTACTCTGTCTTCCATCAACTGTCTGCGGGCCCCACCCTGACCCCCACCCAGCCACTCACCCTGCAAACACGGTTCCCACCGCAGAGAAGAACCACTCTGGGGAGTTGAAGCCAAGGATGGCCACGCTGTGGGCCCGCTCCAGGCCAAGCTCCAGGGCAAAGGTAGACAGGTCAGGTCAGCCGCGCAGGAAAGGGGTCTCTCATGCCCCATGTATCCCTGCTAATCTGCAGGGCACTCCCTCCCAGGGCCCACCCAGAGAATCCCCTGTGGGTCACTCACTCAGTAGCCCTTGGTGCCCCTCCAGGCCCTCCCAGGAAGCCCAGCCCCTCAGCCCAGCACACCAGATGTCCCAGTACACCTGAGTGTGACAGCAAATGAAAAGCTTGTGTCAGGTGCAGGGCGCGGGGTAAGGGCTTGCTGGCATGTAACGTGAGCTCCATGAATGGGGGTGGTATTTATAGAGCCTGCCAGTAGGGAGGAGACCTGTAAGGGCCCTAAGCCGGGGAGGGAAAGGCTAATGCCAGGAGGGCCCCTCACCTTCAGGAAGCTCTTGGCGGCTCTGCGGGCAAGCAGGTAGTACTGGGAGTAAGAGATATGCTCCCACTTGTCCTGGCGTTTGAAGCCCAGAGCGCTGAGGTCCCCATACTTGTCCAGGGTGTCATAGAACATCCGATGCACAGTGTAGGGAAGCTGTGGGCAGCTGGGGTCTGTGCGCAGGCGTACCCGCCCATCGGCCTGAGTCGTCCATAGTGCCTCCTCTGTGGGGGAACCACAGCTGAGATCATGCCAGCCTGGGGCTGCCCTAGGGGATCCCAGTCCTGCCCTGGGAAGAACTCTCAGCCCTGCAGATGCTGATCATGCCTTGGACCCTGGACCATGGGGATGGCAGGCAAGCCAAAAACTGGGATGGTCTGGGAGCCTGCCTGAAGGAGGAGGTCCGCCTCAGCCTTGAAGGATCAGCAAAGCTTTGAGATCCAGTAAGGAAGAGGAGAGGAAAGAGATGGAGGAGATGTGGAAGGTATAGACCTGGTCTTGCTTCATCCCAGCTGGAATCTGCCTCCCAAGGTTGGGCAGTGGAGCTTGGTCAGGATCTCTAACTGCCTTCAGGGTTTTGGCCTCCCTGCCTCCTATGAATGGACTGGGATGGACCCAACTAAACAGAAGGTCAAGGCATCAAAGGTAGTAACCCTCCCAAAGATTTGGAGGAGACCAAAGCCCAGCAGACTCTGATCGCCAGCTGAATAGTCTCCATCCCGAGAAACAACATCAGCCACAGTCTGTTGATTCTCCTTCACACGGGGTGTCTTGCTTAGTGTTCACGGTTTGGGTGTGGACAGCCCCATTTCACAGATGGGGTGGCTGCAGCTCAGAGAAGTTTGGTCATTATCCCAAAGTCACACATCGGGGAAGGATAGAACTCAAGTGGATCTGACGCCCAGCTCATGCTTGAGACACTGCCCAGAGTACCACCAACCTTTAAGGCTTTCTCTGTGTGTAGCAGATAGGGACAGAGACCTACCACCTAGTATGTGAGACTTGGGGTCTGCTTCCTCAGGAAAAGATGAGGATTCAGTTCTCAGGGTGGGTATGAGGACCAAAAGAAATACTGTATATGAAAAACCCTTGGCATATAGTTGGTGCTCAATAAGTGAATACTTTTCTTCTTTCTCCCTTTCCCAAGTTCTCCAAATTGTTTGCAAAGGAAGCTTGGAAGGACTCTTTGGGCACCCTGGGGCTTCCTTCCCCTCGAGCAAGAGTGGTCGTTCTAAGATGACCTTGGGGATTTGGCAGGCAGTGGAGCTGGCCAGGACAAGTGTGGCTGCACTGCCACCTGCTGGCCAGATCCACCTCTTCTGCTGTCCTGTCACTGGTCCCTCTCTGAACAGGGCAGATGGACTAGATGACCTTATTCCTTCCTCCCCTTTGGCATTCTTGGTTCCATTCAGACTCTGAGATTGACAGAAAGAGGGAAAGGTGCTGGGGCTGGAAAGGAGAGCCCATTCCTCCCCTGTGGAGGGCTGGGGGTGGAGGATGAGAACATATAACCAGGTCCAAACAGGAGAAGGGAGAAGGAGAGATATGAGGCGGGGGACATAGAAGCCTGCGAGAAATGCAGGCTGGAGCAGGAGAGGGTGCCAGAGAAGATCTTATGTACTGGTGGAATCCAAGACCACGCAGGCCGGCATCCATGCACCCTTGCCAGGACGGACACCCCCACCACCGGCCATGCTGGAGCCCTGTGCTGCTGGGTGGAGGCCTGACCCCCTCCACTCACCCTTCAGGCTTCTCCAAGCCCTGCCTCATATCCTGGGATAGATGCACCTCTTCAGAGCTCCCAACCTCTGCATTTTGCTAGAGTTCATGCCTGGAACAGGACGTCAGGCACACCTGGGTTCAAAACCTCAGTTATGTCCCTGCCTACTGGGTGATCTGACATGCCACTCTCCTCTCAGCTGCATTCCAATCATCAGCAAGTGTGAGGGGTCGGAGGGGATGGGGGGACAGTGGAGCTGGTGGTGAGAAGGTAATGTGGTATGTGAGAAGGTGTAGCCACGCTGGAAAACAGTTATCAGTTTTTTAAAGTGTTAAGTGTGAACCATTACCACACAACCCGGCAATGCCACTCTGAGCCATCTCCTCAAGCGGAACGAACACACTTCCCCGCACAGACTTGCATTATTTATAATGGTTAAAAGCGGAAGCATCACGGTGAACTGGTGACTGAAAACTACACGATGTCCACCCCCGCGATGGACATCATTCCTCTCCTAAAGGGAAGAGAGCACGGAAACAGCCTGCGACAGAGATGAAACTCAAAACGTGATCAGAGAAGGGAGACGGATGCCAAACACCACACCCTGTGGGATTCCCCTTCACATGAAGTATCCAGAGAGGGCAGAGAAGAGGGCAGAGAAGCGGGAGGTGGGAGTGGAGAGTGCCCACAAAATATGCACAAGGGATCTTTTGGAGGTGACAGGAACATTCTAAAAGTAGATTGTGATGGTATTTGTGCAACTCCTTAAATGTGCCAAAAATTATTGAATTGTGCACTTACAATGGGTAAGTTTCATGGCATATAACAAATTATGCTCCAATAAAACTGATTTTAAAAGAATGGGAGGAAGAAAGTTGACCTCCCAAAGTGGTGTGGGAACCCTGTGTGGTGGCCTGTACGGCATGCCTGGGGCTGGGTGTGCAACCGCTGCTCAGGGGCTGTTTTCTTCCTTCCTCCGCACAGATTTCCCCCAGGGCCTGGACAGAAAGGTGGCTGTCTCCTGTGAACACTTCTGGAAGCTCACGCTTACCCAGGTTGCCAAGAAGAGCAGAGGTAAGTCTTGTGTGATCTTGTTGCTACAGCTTCTGTCAAGCCAAAAGTTTTAACTCAAACATTTATAATCTCTTTTTGAACAACAAAAACATGCATATTTGTTCTAAGAAATATGGAAAAATTTAGAAGTCTGTGCTGTAAAGGTAAACAGGCCCTCCCTATATGAATATACACACAGGAGTTAGGTTTTGTTTTATTGTTGCTGCTGTTGCTTTTTATTTTAAAAAGGGAGGAAAGGGGGCGGCACCTGTGGCTCAAAGGAGTAGAGCGCCGGCCCCATATGCTGGAGGTGGCAGGTCAAACACAGCCCCGGCCAAAAAATAAAGAAAAAAAAAAGGAGGGAAATTCATATTATTAGTGTATTAATCAAGGGGAGCAAACCCCAAATGCCCACGGGACCAAGTGGGTAATATATTAGTATCATAATAAATAATAAATGAATAAAGTATGCCAGGATTTGCAAGTAAAACCCAGAGATATAGTCTTCTTTTCCACAGAGAAATAGCCTTGCTCGCATTTCCTTGAGACACAATGGTGCTCAGCGTTGCTCTTTGTCCTCCGCTTCTGATGGGCGCATGGAACAGTGCAATGTTTCTCTATTATAACTACTATTAAAGCTACAAAGTTCCACAGATCTATTTTGCAACATGGTGATTATAGTTAATGACAACGTATTGTATTCTTTTTTTTTTTTTCTTTCTCTTTTTTAGAGACACAGTTTCTGTTGCCCTGTGTGCCATAGGGTCACAGCTCACAGTGACCCCAAACTCCTGGGCTCCTGGGTTAGAGCCATCCTCCTGCTTCAGCCTCCCAGAGTGCTAGGATTACAGGCATGAGCCACTGAGCCCAGACAAATATATTGTATTCTAGAAAATTGCTAAGAGTAGATTTTTTTTCTCAGCACAAAAAAATATTACATGAAGTGGTGCATGTGTTAATTCACCCCATTTAGCCATTCCACAGCCTCTGCGAGTTTCAAAACACTATATTGTACACAAGAGATATATACAATTTTAGGTTGTCAATTAAAAAATTAATTAAGGCTCAGTGCCTGTAGCTCAAGCGGCTAAGGTGCCAGCCACATAAACCAGAGCTGACGGGTTTGAATCCAGCCTGGGTCTGCCAAACAACAATGACAAGTACAACCAAAAAATAGCTGGGCATTGTGGAAGGTGCCTGTAGTCCCAGCTACTTGGGAGGCTAATGCAAGAGAATCGCTTAAGCTCAGGAGTTAGAGGTTGCTGTGAGCTATGATGCCATGGCACTCTACCGAGGGCAACAGCTTGAGGCTCTGTCTAAAATAAATAAATAAATAATAATTAAAATAAAAAGAAAAGCTAACTGTATGGGCTTTGGGCTCCAAATCAGGGTGGCAGCAGGGAGTGCTGGGGCTATAGGGGCAGAGAGTGCTTCTTCACCCCCTCTGATAGGACTGGTGCCCAGCAGAAGTGGAGACCAGGATTTCCCAGAAATCTGCATGTTTATGTTTAAAAAAATGTTATGTGGACCAAATCAAACACAGCCATTAACCAAGTTGTGCGTCTTTTACTTTTGCAGCATTAAGAAGTCCCTGTCACGAGGTGTGGGTGTTGTGAGACTCACAGTGCTCCTTTGTCTGGTCATATCACAGTTTACTGGACCACTCCCCTACTGAAGGACACTCTGTGAGTTCCAGCTTTCAGCCCTCATTCTAGGCCTTCTAAGGGATAGATTTGTAGAAAGAAATAAGTTTACTGAATCAGAAGAAAAAAAATATTTAGAATCTTGATAGACTTTCTGGACAGAGTTCCTCAATTAATTTCTCCTTTCCCGTTAGCTATGTGGTTTTGCTTTTTTCCTGATTTTTTTCTCTCATGGTGCCTATGCATCTGTTAGGTCATCTCACATCCTTTTTGGATGGAGGAAAAAAAGAACAGGAAGAAAAGGACAGTCAGTGGGTCTGCAAGGTCAGTCTGCTCCTAGCCCAGCTGCTTCATGATGGGGACAGGAGACATGGCCCTGGAGGACCCTATGCCACTTGGGAAGGGCAGCAAGGCTCACTGGCTAGCAGATGTCCATCTCTTTCTCCCCAAAGGTTCAGCTGAGCCAGCAGGGCCTGTCTGAGCACCTCCGTGAACCAGAACAGACCCTGGTGGGAAATGGACCACCCTACCCAGCCTGAGGCTCCGATCATTCCTGCCTGCTGAACTCCCGTGTGCCAGCATCACCTCCTACCCAATGCCCCAGGACTCGGGGAGGCTGAGTGAGTGCTGGCAGAGCGGAGCAGCAGAGCAAGGATGCAAACCCAGATGGTGTGACGCCCAGTCCACGCTGTCCCCACTGGGCATGTGGCCTCTCGTAGTGGGCTTCACAACAGACCCAGTACCATATTCCCTCTGGGAAAGGACCAGCAAGCCTCCCTCCCAAGTCCTGTGTGTGGGCTCAGCATGG